GGAAGGGGACCTCCTCCATCTTTCATGCGATCAAGAGATAACAAAAGCTAAGGCATCCATCATGCCACAAAATAACATTATATTTTCATCACTCTTATAAACAGATACTAAGCCCCCGCCACGTACTTTGAGTCAGATGGTAAAAGCACCCCTAACATTTACATATGAGCCAAAGACAGCTTGTCGAGTTGCTTTCTCAAAGTCAATTAAGAAAGCGTTCAGATCTAAATCAAAGCCTAGTTCAGAAGATTTATTCCGAATAGCATTTAATAGGTCCTTATAAACTTTATCAGTCAGAAAGGCTTAAGTACAAGTTACTGCTTGACAGATGATTGATCCATTCATCTCTTTTGAATCTTATGTTGAAGGTTCATGACATGTTCAAAATCTGAAGGACATAAAATCAACTTAAAACTGAAGTGAAGGACCCCAAATCTGCATAAGATGCACAACCATTCTCAAGAAATTAGTTTTTCAGATAATAATAATTCCATCATAACATGAAATAGACCAGTCAACGCCTTTAAAGCCAACCCTGCATCCATTTACAACATGACAAATAATTTGATATATTTATTTGGCGATCGGGGACTACACATACAAAATACACAAAATGTACATAAACGGTAAAATGAGGAAACTGGCGTTGACTTGGCTAAATCGGTACAGAGAGACCAGACTTGCACGCAACTGACAGTTCCTTGGATTGAATGCTCGAAGAACTTGTATTTGCAAAGATCTCGAAGAGAAGAAAGTCAAGAGAACCGAGTGACTGAGCTCGAGGAGTTAGTGTTAGCGACTGAAACTATAACTGTCCAAGGTCTGGAAGGATTTACTCTAATCTGGGAAAAAGGCAACACAGTGTAAAGTCCTTTAACATAACCCCTGTCAACTTGAATTAACAGCATCAACAATGGCAGGAAAGTCAGGAGCAGATTTTAAATTTTTACATTCAAAATGAATCTGAGCTTCTGAGTCAAATCCATAACGGAGTCTATTACAGAGATATGAAACAAATTCACGATCAGGAAGTTTAATGAGCTTAAACTCCAAACGATCAACATCAATAGGAGTAGAAGCAATAAAATCACAATGATAACCAGTGACAGGATCTAAAATTCTGTTAACTAACGTCCGATCTGGTCACTCGTTTTTATTAGAACCATCATTGCTACTGACGATCTTTCTCTTGCGACTGGCACCCTGAGACTGAATGCTAACAGGTTTACCGGCATGATATTTAATAGGTCTATTGTATTCATCCACAAACTTTGAAGAATTACTGTTGTTTCTGTTGTGTTTTTGATAGTCCCCTTTTGATTATCTCACAAGGACGACAAGATGACAAGGTTTTAAGGTTGATTTAATAAAGAAACAGGAACTAAATACAGTGGCAATATCTCATTATTGCTTATAGGTACTATGATGTACAAAACATTGTAAGCCACGATATTTCTCGAATGAATGTTTACATAATCAAGTGGTCACGTGAGCCTTCCATATATTATGGATTTATAACAGATTTAAAACAGTCTCTACAACACCTCCCTACTGAAAATAGATGCTAAACTTTAGCATCACAAACAGAATCTCTCAATAGGTTTTCGCGGTCTCTTTGATCTTCTTGGATTGTCTGGTCTGTACTCTGGAACATATGGCAAAGTCTTTGGTTTGGTTTGACTCTGAGCTTGTGGAGCAAGATCTACATCTAAAATCTCCATTGGATGATCTGTCATGAAACCAGAAATATTGTTTAATACATCACCAGGTTCATTGTCTTCCTCAGTTGCATGGCGTGGCTGCAACTGTTACCAATGTCGTCTCCACACTGGACCATGAGGTATAACCTAGACGTTGAAGCAGCGAGCACCCAATGCACTGCCTTCTTAATGATTGCGGGTACCCATCGGGGTTGTCTGTCTCGACGAGGTCCATGGTACAGCGCATACACGGGATCTCCGACGTTATACTGCCTGGTGACCTTGGCGACACCTCCCGAGTTAGTCATCTGAGACTTTGATGCCTCCATGGACTGCTTATCCTTAGCAGTGTGCGCTGGAGAGGGAAGAAGAGAGTCGATCCTTGTCCGTATTTGTCTGGACAGGACGTTGGTGTTCTCCGGTACTGCATCAAAAACTCTTGAAGTGCTTGGTTTGGTGGCAGAGAAGACTTCTTGAGAGCTTGCTTGAAAGTCTGCACCATGCGTTCTGCTGGGTGGTATGGTGCGTTATCCCACGTTCCTTGCACCAGCTCTTGAATTCTTCAGAGGTGAAAGGTTGACGCGTTGTCAGTGACTAGCGTGTGAGGGTATCCAAAATGAGCAAAGTCTTCTTGCAGCATGTAAATAGTGGCTCTCGAGGACGTGGATGATGTTGGGTGAATGCATGGCTACTTCAAGTAAGCATCTGTTATCACCAGCCAATCTTTACCCATGAAGTTGATTGCATGGTCCAGGTGTAAGCGGCTCCAGGACTTCTCTGGTAGCATCCAAGGGTGAACTGGGGGCTTGGATGGCTTGTTCTGATGAACACCACACGAGTCACATCGTCGGCTAGCCATCTCAATAGCTGTATCGATGCCGGGCCAATAGACAGCGGTTTTAGCTAACTGCTTCATACGTTCCATGCCAAAGTGCCCTAAATGCAACAAATTCAGTATCTTGGACTGTAGGCTCTGTGGAATCACCACTCTCGATCCATGGACGAGACATCCATGACAGATGTTAAGTGAGTCAGTCAACTTCCGGAACTTGTTGACTTCTTCATTGATCTCAGCACTCTTTGGTGGCCAGCCTTCGCGAACATAGCGCATTACTGCAGAAATTACTGGATCTTTCTCTGACTCTTTACGAAAGATGTTAGCGTCCACAGGCTGGACCTGAAGACTAAGATCTTTGATGGCACACACCATATCCATATCTTCACTACTTTCCTCCCTATCAAAATCGATGTCATCTCCAGATGGCAGGCGACTAAGGGCGTCAGCGTTTCCATGGTCCCCTGTTTTACGGTACTCGATGGTGTAATCAAACTGGTTGAGCCACAGGGCCCACCGAGCTAGTCCGTTAGCTGCCAAAAGTGGTGTCCCTTGCTTAGGACCAAACAGTGAAGTTAAAGGCTTGTGGTCTGTTACCAAAACGAACTGTCTTCCGTACAGGTACTGGTAGAACTTCTGCAAACCGTAAATGATGGATAAGGCTTCCTTGTGGATCTGGCTGTAATTCCTTTGGAAGACGGCAACCCCAGATAGATCACTGGTCAAGTTTTCCATGATCTCCTGAAAGTAACCAGGTGCAGACTTTATTCCAAAAGGACGTCGATCTTGCAGGAGTAGCCAACGGTGAGTGCTAAGTGTCAGCCTACGTTGGCTTTCTGGTGCTAGCTTTATCTGGTTGTAGGCATCAGCAAGGTCGATCTTGGTGTACCCGAATCCACCTCCAAACCTTTGCATCAGTTCCTCTGGGAACGGCATTGGTTGACGATGATCTTCAAGCTGGTCGTTAATACCCACTGAGTAGTCACCACAGATCCGTAACTTAGGCTTCAAATTGCCAGAAATAGGGGTCTTACGAATTGGTACAACTGGTGTTCCGTATTCCAGACTCCTTTGGCGATGCCTTCTTCATAACCCTTAGCCAAGTCATCTCGAAGAGCAAATGGAACAGGGCGTGCTTTGTGAAAGACTGGTTTCGCATCAGACTTGAACTTCACCTCTAGTTCGAAATCCTTGAGACATCCCAATTCATCCTTGAAGAGATCTGGGAATTCATCACAAAGTTTGTGGCAATCTCGTTGCAAGGAAGCATAAGGCTTGTTAGAGGTCTCTGGATGTGTAGTAGAAACATCCTCACTCATGGCTTGACTCTCTATGCTCCTCAGTCCTAGAGCATTGTCCACAGAAATTCCCAAACTCTGGATAGCGTTGCGTCCTGTCCTAGCAAATTCAAATCTGGAATCTTGGTGACAATATAGGGAATTGACCTCTGGTTACCAGTCACTGGATCCTTCGTTTGGCTCCTGAAAGTTCCCAGCACTGGTAGGTCGTGCTTGCTGGCAGACTCGTAACGGTGTCTGACACTTCCAGCTCAGGTTTTCCAAGTTGTCTCCATACCGGCAAAGATATGAAATTGCCTGTTGTGGCAGTGTCCAGTTCCATGATGAACTGACGGTCCTGGATTTGGATAGGTACATCCAACTTTGGAGTTTCTTGGGAAACTTCACTTAGGATAGCTTTGACGACCTCTGCTTTTGTGATCTTCTTCACGGAAGGCTGCGATCGATCGCGTTTCCCGTGCTGTTGTTTCTTTCTACAGACAGCTTCCAAGTGTCCTTGCTTGTCACAGTAATGGCATTTGGCTTCTTTGTAGGGACAGTCTATCGCTTTGTGGGCCTTTGCACATCGGTAGCACTTTTCTTGGTCTGTGGAAGTAGACTGATGTTGTTGTTTCTTGTGTGGACTCTTGTTCTTTTTCTGGTGCACTTTGTTGACGGGCTTGGTCTTGGAACCGTACACAGTTTCCTTGGCAACCCTCGCCGCATCTTCGGCAACATCAATAGCTTTGGTGAACGTCAGTTCAAAATCTTTGATCTTGAACAGGGCCTTCAAGACAGCTTCATTGTTCACAGAGCATATGAATCTCTGTCGTATAGCTTCATCCTGAGGGTCATTGATCGAAGTAAAGTCACAGGTAGCCGCATCATGACGAATTCGGGCTGCCAGCTCCAGTAGCGTTTCACCGGGCTTTCTTTGCATGTCGCTCCAGAATTTGAAACGTTCACGAACCACGAACAGTTTAGGGTCAAATTGTTCCTTCATGTATGTAACAATTTCTTCTTTTGGTGGAGTTTGCTGCGCTGCAAGGTTGGCCAGTTGTTTATAGACGACAACAGTTTGGTTGGTTAGAAAAACACGAGCCTTACGTTCGTCAGGCACTGCATTGGCCGCTATAAAAGTACAAAAACGAGACCAATAGTCGGGCCACAGTTCTGTCGTCGAATCAAATGCAGCAAATGGAGGAAAGGCAGCAGACTGTGTATAAGGTAACAGGAAACCAGTGCGTGGAGAAGAAGGATTTTCTTCATTTCTAGCGTTGGCAGCTTTAAGCTGAAAAAGCCTCATAAGTTCTTCCATGTCTTTCTCATGCTGCTGTTGCTGTTGTACAAGTTGTCGCTGTTGTAACTCCAAGTCTTCTTTGTGCTGTAGTTGAACAAGTTGCTCTCTCACCAACTTAATCAATTCCGCCGTTTCAGACAATCTCTCGTCAAAGGGAAGTAATCCTATCGGCGACGATAGGAAAGTTTGAATGGTGTCTGATGTGAAATAAAGTTTGAAAAGTAAACTATCAATATCTCTACTTTGTAATAAGTACATTGACTTTTTGATTTCAGGAAGGTTTATTTTGTAATTGTGTAATGTTGAAATATGACTTTGTAAAGTCGAGGCATTGTTTTCAAGTTATATTATAAAACAGTCTCTACAACAGTTTCGAACTTTAGTCAAAACTGAGTGGAATGACAGTAATTACAACATTGACTCGAGAGCCAGCAACTACCTTGCGCAACAATTCAGCCCCGAAGGCTAGTTTTTCAGAAAGGCATTTTTTCTTTGAACGGCCCGATTTTACTTTTTTTTTTTGGAATTTAAAAATGAAATCATGTCTTTGCCCGAATATCCTATACTATAACTATATTTTTTTAAATTGATAGCCCATTCCGTAAATTAACTTGAATACTTGTGGATCTCCTAAGGGGGGTAGTATCATGTGTTCTAGAAAGAGTAAACATACTCTGCCAATAACAATAGTGTTTCTCTCGAAGAGTTTGCAAAACTCTTATAACTAAGTTAGAAATTCGGGCAACCTGGGACGTAAACCTGGCTCCGCCACTGAGACATACATGTCCTCCTTTTAAGACTTTCCTGCGAAGCTCAGGGCTGACCATATCTACATAAGCCAAATCTTGTGCAAATACTCTATGCAACTTGCTATGATCTACTAAATCTGAAAAAGTCATACCCTGTAATTGTGGGTTGATCTCTTAAGGCACACTAGAAGACTGTACAGTACAGATTGTAAAACATTAGCTAAACCTTGATTACCTTGACCTGTATCAACATGACTAAAAGGAATTTGACCTGGATAGCTGCTTGACCCATGCATTAAATTGACTTGACTCTGATTTGGGCTATACTGATAGTTTACTGGCTGAAATATACTAGTAGAAAAATTAATCTGAGCATGAATAATAGGCAATGTAGCAGCATTTAAAAAATTGGTTTGAGCAAATGTGAAAGGCAATGTAGCAGAGGTTACATCTGAATCCTGTTAAAAAGCAGTAATTGTTATTGGCAAATGTTGTTGCAACGGTAAATGATAATGCAATATTTCAGGATTTCTAAAAGAGTTATTCAAATTACATTCTGGAAGGCTTAAGCCTGTATCTGAGCAAGAGATCAAAGAAGATCTACTGACAAGGTTAGGTTGTGCAAGCACATTAGATTACAGTGGCACTGGGGACAAAGAATGATTCGTAACTCCCATAGAGTTAAGTAGAGAACAATGTTGTTCTTGAGCATGAATATGGCTAAGGCCTACACTATTGTGATAGGACTCTAAAGAATTTGAGTTAACATTCTGTGATAACAATGGTCTACCATACAAATTAGAAAACAAAGATAAGTTATGAACTGATATTGACGTTTGAGTCCCTGAACGCTGGTTGAATGGATGTAGTGGCAAAGGAACTGGTATAGGCACTGTCTATATTATGGAAGTTGAAATCACTGCCTATGGTACTGTTGGTAAGATTGTCAAATCTGTTGCTGGAACGGATAAAATTGCCAAGGGAGTAGTAGCTGATGCTTGAGCAGAAAAAGTGGATACATCAGTCAAAGTTGGAACTGATAAAGGTATAGACACTGGTACAGAACATGAGCCAGTAGACATCTCCTCTAAATCCAAGTTGGCTCCTAACAACTACTTCATGTCAGCTCTTGAAAATGAACTCGGACCCAAAATTCCTAGCTTAAAAAGTTCAAAGCGTATTTTATCTGATGTCCAATATCGTAGAGGATCTGTGTTTCGTTTTGGTCTGGAACTCATAATGAATAATAAAATTGACCAATACCGCTAAAAATTCTATCGTGCAGGAGCCGCCATCTTGAAAAAATGAGAAGTTCTATATCAAAGTTGGTAGAACGGCTTACTCGAGACAGAACGTCAGTAGAAGCGATTAAACACCAAAATTAAAAGATCTACAACTTCCAAAAAACTTTCAGAGTTCAGAGAATCTCCACCCAATTGTTGTAGTAATAAAATATGTAAAATTAAAGGCGAATCCCACTGCTCGGATAGAGTTCAAGATGACGACTGACTATACTCGCCTATCACGTGACTTATCAGTCAACGACAGTTGTCGTTATCAACTATCTTCATGCCCTTCAATTAGTGATCAGGGTGGTTGAAAGGTAACAAGTTACTATCCAACAGAAGGCACTGGCACAGAGTTAAATCAATGTTCATGAATGTTAAGGTCAATATGTTAAAATGGAAATTCGTACTCGTAGTCTAAAAACCTAAAAAATAAAAAGATACTTTAATTCTTGCACTGAATTATAAATTGATCATTTATTAAAAAAAAAGTTGTAAAAAATACCAAATACCCATTGAAAGAAAAAAAGATGGACTTAATGTAATAAATGAAATAACTAAATGAAATAAATGAAATGAAATAAATAAATGAAATAAATGAAATAAAACAAAAACCAATTTCACTGCCACAACAATATTTTATTATCCAGGCTACTCTTGACTGATGGAAGAAACTAGGCCGTTTAAGTTTACGAGGGGTTAACACAGATTTGATATACAAATACATGTTTCCAAATTTTCCACCCTACAATACAACATAAAGCAAATCTTCTCTTAGGTTTTGGTCCACTTATTCATTACGTATCTCCTTTTACGCAATTCTGTAAAAGCTGGCATATATTCGAAGACATGTCTGACCAACTTTCATTTGGTGACCAAAATCTTATTTACCTAATTTCATGTAAAAAAAAAAAGCGACACACAGTACTTTGGAGAAACTAAGAACGCGTTGCGAACTCGTTTTTATGGCCATCGTTACGAAGTTACAACCTATGCCAAATACCAAACCAAAATAAAGAAGACTACAGCGCAAGAGTTCTTGGACGGACTTCAAACTGTTTACACTTGTCATTAAACGCCATTTTTATGCATATTCAAGACCAATATCCCCATGTTTATAAACGGAAGTATACAGAGTTTATTCTTAAAAGATTTCATATTACAGGATTTATCATCAGTTTTTTTACATGTTACATAACAACATTACAGAAGGAGACTAATTCTTATCTTTACCAAGTTTTACCAAGAGAAATGATATTACTTTAATCTTTACCATGATTAATTAACTATTTCTAAACTTTTGCACCTTGTTTTTAACACGAATCTTTACTTTGTGACCTATACTACGTTCTCATCGCCATCTAACGCGTAGAAAGAACCTGATTTCGTTGCTCCGAATCTCTGCTGTGTTTTTACCAATGTTTTGTGTAATTGTGTCTTATTCTATTTTTATAGAGCGGGACAATACTGAAAAAAATACACTATATGGGTGCTCTAGCTATGTGTGCTGCACTTATTTTGTACATGATGTCAAATAATTTTATTCATGGTAAGGTTTAATTTTTTTACAATTTATGATAAGTTTACTCTGAAAATGTACAAAGACGCTTTGGGTGGTCTAAGCATGTGGAATTCGTTGGAATTCAAAAAGAGAAAAAAAATTTGTGCTACGTTTAAATATATGTCATTGAATCTGTCTTTAAATAGATTGGAACAGGGGGAATAGACTAAGCAGTCTTCTTCATACCTCCTATTTGTCAAATTTGAAAAGTTTGAATGACGAAGGGCATGCCGGTGGCTGCATAGGAAGGTTTGGGGCGGATAAAAAAAAACATGAATTGTCCCCAAATTCCAATTCCATTACTACAACTAAACACATTCATGTACATCATTGCCCCTCCGTATATATTACTTACAATCAAGCCTGGCTACAGGCCCGACGAAAGGGGAAGGAGAATGCGATTCGTGTATCTATAATATCGTCAAAAAAGAACTGAGAGGAAGCAGAATCACTGTAGAACTGTATTTTCAACAACTTCACGCAATTTGGAAAAGTTATCGCAACTGTCATTGCATCACCAAATTAATCATAAATGTTGCTTGTTGATCAACGCCGAGTGAGTGCAACTGACTACAGATATAAGAGAATTCTGACGAAACTTGGTATGAATGACGATGTGATGGTTTGGATCATTCTGAACGCGATCTGGATTTACAGTTTTGAATGGTTTTGACATACTTATGTATGACCCTTACCTAGATAAACTATGTCTAAATAGGGAACATACATACTTGAGGCACTATCTATTTGATCTGATGATTATGTTGATCAACAGCATCTCGAATGAGTTAATTTTCCAGGTCATTGACTCGAACACATTTTAAATAGGCTTTTGAATGCAAAATAGCTAAATTTATCGGGATTTGGGATATCGGACATGGAATACTCACTATTTTATTTGACTTAAGCGAATTTTCGTACGGGTTATGACCCTTGACCTAGCAGATATATCAAAATTATTTTGTGTTTGCTATAGAGGCTCTAAGTACAAGAATGTTGGGGATCAGAAATACTAGTAGTGAATCGGGATTGTATAGATTGATTTGATTTTCATTTTTCAGAATATATTAAAAAAACATCTGGTATAAAAGGCTTTACGGAAACCACTGAAGCAAGAATTTACATTGGCAAGGAAAACACCAAGAGAACCACACCGTCCATAAAAATTATTATTCATACATATATGAGGAGTGGTTCATCATTTACTGCTGAATTAATTGCTATGCATCCTAATATTTTCTTCGTATTTGAACCATTTCATTGTCTCGACCGAATTTATAAGGATGGCAAAGTAAGAATTCCATATTTCCCATATCTCAACAGACCAGCCAGGTATGTATCATCACTGTATATATTTCATGCCATTTTATCTTTATGGGGATTCCACAAATCAGAAGGAAGTGGTATTGACGGTGTCTTCTTATTTGTCATACACCCATTAATTATTGTCATACAAGGTTAATATAATTCATTGTGGGCTGAACAGACTGTTACCCTATTGAGTGAATTGTATGTTGTCTGAATATTTGATTAATTCAATCTTTATTCGTTTCATTCGATATAAATCAAAATATACAACAAAATATTTTAGCCAGAATTATACAACATTTCAAAAGTCTCATAATGGACAAGTAAAACTACATTATGAAATATAACATTAAGATTAGGAGCACTAGCTATATTAAAAGCTTTGGAGAATTTGGAGAGTTAGTCTGGATGGTTCAGGATGTAATGGCATCTAAAATTGGATTCATGTCCTAATGTTCTGCTGCTGTTGGCCAGTGAGCCTAAGTACCAGATTGGCCTTTTTCTCTCTGACTATCTTCTTTGGGCAGCAGCCAATAATTGTTGGAGCGTAGCTGCTTGGCTGCCTCAAACCTCTCAATTTTATTTATCACAAAACGATTGGATTTCGTTCCTTATATATTTCAGAATAAACCCAGAGAATATAAGCTTGGTAAAATATGATATAATGAATAACTATTTACTGTGTGAAGTGTTTAATATAGATCTATTTACTTTACAATCACCTTTTCTACATCTAGGTAATCAGAGAACTGGGGACTATTTACAATGTCTACACGAAAGTTCCAACACCAAGGGCGTTGTTAGTTGTTTACCAATATTTCAAAACGCATGTAGTAGAGCTAAAGGAATACTCATTAAGACAATACGCTCTGAAATGTCATTTTACAGAAAAATGATGGAAAAACACCAAAGTTTAAAAATCATTCAGTTGGTGCGGGATCCGAGAGCGACTCTTTTCTCTATGCATAAAACTGGTGCAATCAATACCGATGAATGGAACAATAACTTGTACAACGTCGCTAAAATCTTTTGTTCTCGAGTTTTAAATGATTTAGAAATAGCACGAGAACTAGAAGCATTGCATCCAGAAAGGGTAAAAGTTGTCATGTATGAGGATATTGCTGGTGACCCAATAAAAAAGTCATTTGAATTACATAAATTTGTTGGGATAGAGCTTTTAGAAGAAGAGAAAATGAAGATAATAAAGAAAACATCAACTGGAGAAGTAAGCTGTAAGGACAATATGTGCACTAGTAAGGCAAATTCCACACTAGCAGCTTCTGCTTGGCGAAATCGTATCCCCTTTATAAGTGTCCAAATAATAGACCAAGCATGTGGACCACTGTTGTATGATATTTTTGGACTTAATTTTATACAATCAAATCAGAAATTGAGAAGCGAACATTTTTCGATAAGGAAACCCGGAGGTGCCAATTTTACGAAAAAACATTTCATTGCAGAAAATATGAGAGCAAAATTCAAGGAAACGCGTTTGATATAATAATATATGTAATTATGTTAATAAAAGCCTGTTGATCTCTTCGGAGTGAAAGCGCTAGCTTTATATTTTGTGTGTTCTTTCCTGATTCATTAATTTTGATATATTCCACCTAAGTACTTTAACCAGTTTGTCTACATAAATATTTATACATATCAAAATTAATGCATTCAGGAAAGAACACACAAAATATAAAGCCAGCGCTTTCACTCCTTAAGATACCATCAGACTATTATTAACATAACATGACAATGATATAATAATTATATATATATACATGTATATATACACAATAGTGCTAGTCCCATAAACTCACTATTGACTATTGACCTTTTTTGTACCAGAACTTTCCCACATGTAGGATCCACTGGATTGGGTCAAAGTGTCTTTTTAGTACCTTAAAAAGACCTACTTGTAAATGTGCCCTTCGCGATTGAAATAGATTTGTATCATCGGATACATTCTAATTAAAAGCATAATTTGTAAAAATTGCATCATTTCTTGTTAGTGAGTCAGAAACTAGAGTTATAATTTATTTAAGATGTATATGTAGATTAATAAGACCTCAGACGAGTTAGAAATTATGTTTCTGTGAACGGTTTTAAACTATTTACTTAACGCAAGTACAATTTCAAAATACTTTCACTATTTCACTGTGCTCAATACATCAATTATTGTAGAGCGATATACATGTACTAAAACAGAACTTGAAACATTTGGTTACTACTCACGCTGTGCTATCTTCAGATAACTGATCTATTTCAGCCTGTTTCCCTACTGAACAAGAATAATTTGTATAAGAGATGTGTAGTTAGGGGCATTATGGTGGGAAGCTTTTCAGTTAAAAACAGGACCTAAACACAAACTCCAGTAAGACTGAAAGGTCAGTTGTCTGAAGATCGAACAGCGTGAAACAATAAGTTCCAGGTCCTGTATAACATTTCTATTGAAAGGGGCATTTTGGTTTTTTTGTAAAACATTTTCATTACCAAAAACGTCGTAAACTATACCTGAAAATATTTCTTAAGTATGCTATTTATATCTATGTATCTACTTGATCAAACTGAATTTGTTTTAAAAACTGAGTACTGCGTACTATTATTAAAGTGATACTACGTCTTGGAATGAATATAAAATTAAAGTTCTCAAAAGGTCAATATGAGTATATATTCATCAGTTAGCTTACCTGGTGTCATAAAGTTACTTTAAAAGAACTTTAAAAGGTGACGAAACCTTTTACGTAAAATTTTGGCGTTAAAAATTTAACAGCTGGATTTTTTTAGTTAAAACTTCCAGATGCGTTATGGAATACATTTCTACAGATTTTGGTGTATAGTTTTCACAAATTTGAGCAATATAATTTTTTTCGACCTACAAAAAAGCGGTCTGCCCTTTAATTAACTCATGTATGTATATCTAGATTTAGGCAATCTTGAAAGAGAAAATGTCATTCATAATTCCAAGGCACTATGTGATTGAGTTTGCGCCAATTCCATCCAAAAATCTGCCCCACCCCCATTACTATGGACTGTGCAAAAATTGGCCATATAGGGGCTTTGTCTTTGACTGGCCAGTCCGCCATATTGGATATTCGTCAATGGCCATATTTTAGCGATTATAGGAATAAAAAGCATTTCTCCCCATTGTACACCTTAATTATGTTAGATTGGCATCTCAGGACCTCAATGGCACCAACAATTGCATTCATAATTCCAAAGGAGACCACTGGAAAAAATTGGCCATTTTTCAATATCCATATTAGATATCCCTCACTGGCCAAAGAAATGTTGATAACTATGTAATGATTCTATTCATTACACGACTTTTTAGAGGTTTCATTTGAATAAGAAATGAATTACAAATTTTTCGTTTTTTGATTTAATTACAACAATAACAATACAAGTAATGACGAAGTGTCATATATATAGGACTCACTCCACTAAAACATTTTATGCAAATGATTGTATAGGAATGTAGTCCAGGCTATTTTTAGAAATCTTCTTTCTCTCTCCCTTTTGGGGTTTTTGCCTGCCTATTTTTGGGTAAAATTTGGTCTAGATTTGGAATTTGATGTCTGAAATTGCATTATCTTTCAGATTTGGTGAGATGATGAGAGACTTAAAGGCGGAAGGCTAATTCTAAAAATAGTCGTTTTGTGAAGTGCCAAACTCTAGCGGATGAGTATAACCGGTAGTAGTCTACTTTCAATTTTAGTAGCTCAAAATTTTCATGGTCATCATATAATGAATTTTTTAGGAGACATTGAGAATTGGTCAGGCTTTCATTCGACATATTGGAAAGCTTTCAACGAGATTTCTGGAAAAAGTTATAGAAGGTTGAATTTCGTGTTTTAACATGGGAAGAGATGGCAAATGAATTAGTGGAGTGAGTCCTTGACCAATGCCGCATTTGAACATCCGGTTTTGAGGCTTATTTAGAGTTAAATCCCTTTGACAAGGAGAAATTATTGATTTATATTTCCGTTAGTTTCCGTGAATTTCCGGATTATGTAATAGAAGTAGGTCACGTTACCTTATATGGTAAACGTTCAAGTATTCAGAAGTTGACTTTACAACTCTCAAGAAAAAAGTGGTCGAACTTACATCTTTCACGAATGCAAAATCAAGAAGACATAGTTGATATTGTCAATAATGCAAAGTTAAGAATTCATTTTCTTAAAGGAAAGTTTGAATGGTGTCTGATGTGAAATAAAGTTTGAAAAGTAAACTATCAATATCTCTACTTTGTAATAAGTACATTGACTTTTTGATTTTAGGAAGGTTTATTTTGTAATTGTGTAATGTTGAAATATGACTTTGTAAAGTCGAGGCCTTGTTTTCAAGTTTGACTTTGTAAATACTTCCGGCAACGCTCCCCTCCATAAAATTGATCTTTGATGTAAAATAAATAGCCTAGGTCTTGTGACCTTGACCAATGCTCCTAGAGGAGAGTATCTTCTATGGAAGGTTTCTTGACGATATTTTTATTATTTTGGACCGATTCTTTGAAAAATTTTTGGCAATATTTTGAAATTTTAAATAATCATCACCCTTCTGTAAAACTAACTGCGAATATTTCTGAACAAAGTATGGATTTTTTGGATACTACTGTATTCAAAGGACCAAGTTTCTCTCAAACAAACAAATTAGACATCAAAGAATTTTTTAAACCAACGGATACTCACCAACTTTTATATAAAAACTCTTTTCACCCAAAACATACTTTTACGGGAATAATCAAATCGTTTTTTTAGAATTTGCACTCAAAAAGTAGATTTTGATGCAGCTTGTAGACTAGTTTTCAGTAAATTAAGAGAGAGGGGCTATTCCAAACGATTCTTGCGCAAAATTAAAAATGACACTGTTTTGGACCTTTTGAAAATTAATGAACCCCCTCCTCCAATAAATAACTTTGGCGCAATACCATGTAGAGGTTCTCGGTGTCGCACCTGAACATATCCATATGTCTCATTATTTTCAAAATAAAAAAAACCGGAAAAATATTTGAAATTATAGAACGTCTCAGGTGTACGGATAAAAATATCATTTACCTAATTTCGTGTAAAAAATGTGACAAACAATACGTCGGCGAAACCCAGAACGCGTTGCGAACTCGATTTAGCGGCCATCGCTTTGATATAATTCATAGCAAAAATAGACCAATTTCTCATAATTTTAATTTACCTGACCATTCCATTCCTTCTTATCATGCCTATTGAATCAATTCCTGACTCTGATCTTATCAAACCAAAAACCAAACGATTACAGAGAGAAAGCTACTGGATGGACCAACTCCAAACAGTGGCTCCAAATGGACTTAACATCCAGCATGATAATCAAATGATTCCATTTGTTGCCACATTTAATCATACAGCTGCCAAAACCTCATCCATCGTCAAACAGTATTACAGTGAATTACAGAACAGATTTCCGAATGTATATACCAAACGACTTGTAATTGCCTATAAGCGCAATAAAAACCTTAGTAATTTTCTGGTCCGTTGTAGACTCGATCCCATTGAATCCAATAATACTTGACCCCCCTCTCTATTTTCTAACTCATTAAGTATAATATATTCTAATCCTTATATATAGATGTTTAACTTTTCAGAACCTATAAATACTCTTTTCTTTTAGAACTGGTAACAAGAAAACTTTCATATTATAGACTTTTGTTTATTGTAGATTACTCGTGGTTGTTTTTTTAACCTAATACTAACTATGCTAACTTCACCTTATCTTGTATTGAACATTTATCTCTTTATTTGTGACCTTGGCCAGTGCTTTACATAGAAGTTTTTAGGAACTTCTTCACTCTTAACACCCAACACCACGTTTAATCTGAATCTACTCCTAAAATATTAAATGTTTATTAGCTCAAAATTGAAAACTTCTCGAAGAACAGGGGCACCATTTTGGACCAAAACCGTTTAGATTGATGCCTTTTAGAGTGTTACGAGCTATATCAAATATTTTCAATATAGGATTCAATTTGAACTATTTCAACAAGTTTCGTCTAAATCCGACAATACTAGATAAAAAGACGAAATTACTTCATATGCTGACTGATAAGTCATTTACCATCCATAATCCAAGGGAATCGGTTTTTCAGCACTAGTTCCAAGATCCTTTATCAACGGTAATATCAATATCATGCCGTTGCTATAGGAACATTCACTAGTTCGAGATCATTAAAGTATCCATCATGCTTTGTTTATCAGAACTGTGTCTAGCACAGTCTCTGTTTACTTGATATTGGTTAGCGTAAATTAATATAAAATGTCTAAAGGTTTTACAAATTTTGAATCAAACTTTCCCCAATACCTTACTGTAAATATAATTAGTTAAGAGAAAAAGAAAGGCGGTATTTATAATAGCCTGTGATCTTCTCTGAAAACCTCGTTATTTTCCGAGTCTCAATATAAAGGGAATTTATTAATTCACCTGGCAAACATCAGTATTAAATAGATCATGATTGTGCAATGTACAAAAACACTTCAAGTAATAATCTTATTATAGATGTTATCAATAAAAACTCACATGAAACACCAAATTTATATTTTTAACTGAGATGAACAGGATTGATAGAGATAGCTTTTAAGGGAATTAATGCCAACACATCTCTTCTGGATAAAATTAATGAATAGTATCTATAACTGAGTGCAAATATCACTATCTGGGTTTTGGCTTGAATCACTCTCGCTATCTGACTCACTTGAACTCTCACTACCACTTTCATCATCATCATCGTCACTATCATTAACTGTTAGATTATTCAAATTAGAGCTTATTTCTTCTTCCATTACTAGTCTAGCTGCTGATTCTATGTCTTCTAAGTTAAGCCCAACATCTGTTTTAGTTATGTGTAGCTGATGAAGACTGGAAGAAAGTGATTGAATTAGTTTATCTGAAGCTACCTGTATCCAAACACAATAATCAGTAATATATAAATTATTTAGAATATATCTTGAATCTTCATCGATGAACAATGAATGTATATCTAATAAACATTTCAAAATCTGACGTTTCCCAAGGGAAAATATTTTTTCAGTATCTTTTAAAACATCAATTGCTAATTTCCAGTTTCGGTATAGAGGAAATGTTAGGCTTCTTCTCAAACACGTTATTATAGTTTCTTTAATGTTGGGTTGATAACAAAACCAGGAGAGTGTAGAACTGAGTTTACATATATTCCATCCTGATTCGACATTATTTTCACCCTCTGTTATACGCTGATTGTAACAATAGGAATATATAATGTCGACTAAACTTAAATAAACAGGCATGATGTCATTTTCATCCAATAAGTACTCTTTTTTAGGTAAATTACATAATTGTTCCCTTTCTTTGTCATTAAAACTAATCTTATCTTGATAACTTAAATCAGACCAATATGGTTTAACTTTAACAAGTTCCACAACCACCTCATCTTGGTACAGATCAGCTAAATAATGATCTTCATTGAATTTGTCAGCTTCTTGTTGACTACAATTTTTGATTCTTTCAACATTGGACAAATCATCAGGATCCTTAATATCTATAATGTACTTTAATTCTTGACTAAGGTTTTTAAAAACTTGTGACTTTTTATCAGCAAAGCCATAGGAATATTGTCCAATGATTGAGTTGTCTGTACAGGGTTTCTGGTCTATATACCAATCTATTTCATCAGTTTCCAATAACTCACTTGGTAAAACATCAGGATTCGAACCTGAAATTTAAAAGTTACTTGTTACGTATTAAATTATGGTAAGAAAATGAAATTGACAATGGCACGTATTTAGCTTGGCAATTATATAAAGACTGGAAGACCTACAGGAAATATAAAAGGGTCATCATAACTGATGTTAACTATTAATATATTTTCGGTCAGTTAACTGAAATGGAGCTAACAATCTCTGAAAAAACAGGTCATAAAACAGACAAAACTAGAGCCGTAAGCAGCGCAACAGCACTGTGTTGAATTCAGGGAATTTATGATTCTGCTGAAAAATTTACGATACCACTCCAGCTTCTACATAGCATTCCCTTCTAATATACCAGTAAATCGAATGTATTACATGGTTATACACCCCTTATGTTTCTTTTAAAACTTTTCACTGGTCAACAATACAATTATAACACATTTTTAAATTATTTTTTGTAAAAATTAAAAAGTACATTTTTAGAATTTATTTTTTTGTGTGTGGATTGGATCAGTCTCTTCCATATTTAGAATTTTTGAAATATAGGAATCCATGTTCCAAACAATTAATAATATTCCTGACACTCGACTTGTGTTATTGTTTTATTCGCAATATTCAAATGGCTATAAAAACGGATGTAAACATTGTACAACAAAATCAAAGGCACCATGTGATAGATGTCGTCAATTGCTATGACTTTTGTTCAGGCGACATAGTCACCACAGGTCAAGGTCACTAGATATGAGCGTTAAATGTTTTGAAAATTGCTGTTTTTGGAAGCCTATAAAACCAGAAAGAGGTGTCGGACATCATAGATCAAAACATGAATTGACATTATACATCAATGACTTTTAACCTTGAAAAGGTCGTGGTCATCAAAGATGAAATTTAATCAATTGTAAAACCTATTCCTTTTTTAAAAGTAAAAAAAAAAAACAAATTTATCTTCCTACGATATTGGCCAAACTACTGACCTATGTTCCTGCAAAATATTATCTGTGAAAAATGTATACTTCGCAAGTTATGATAAATTACAAATACATAATATATATGTAAATCTAACCCAGATGTGCCAAGCCCACCCCCAAAATTTTGCTCTGTCTGCTATCATGTTTACAATGTTAAATGATGTTAAAATTTCAAGCATCTACAATTATTAGATCATGAGATATTCGTTGTTATACCTTAAAAGTTTGAGTTTATATGGCAAAAACCAAATTACGCACAGTTACTATAGACGTCAGTGTAAAATTTTAAAATTTTAAAAAGCACAATATTGATCAATATATCAAATGTGATATATCTTCAGAAAGGAGAAATCGTACACATTAAGGAAATTAAATAAATTTTGTCGTATAATTAGGTCATGTGACAGAGCCCTTTAAAGATAAAAATTGCGATTTTCAAATGGCTCTAGAACCGGAAGTTAACATCGCTTGACAAAAGTTAATAAATAGATAGATCTTGTTAGGGGCAACAACATTTGTGCAGATCACAAGGTCACCAAAGGTCAAGGTAACTAAATATATGCCTTAACAGTTATAACAATTACTGAAAAAATAAAACCGGAAATTAAAAAAAGCAAAGCCAAAATTCAAAAATCGGCTTCCAAAATTTTGTAAGCAATCTATTGAAGATTCTATAGACACTAAAATCACACACATCGGCTTTGCCCCTGAGGCCCCATTTCGAGTTTTATAAAAGTTAGGCGTGTCAAGATGGTGTCTGACCCTATACTTCCGGGTGAAATTTATTCATTCCAACATCTTTATGGGAGCTACTCTAACTAATTGCAAAAAGAATTTTTCAAATAACTGCAAAATTCCAGAAGTTGCAATTTCAACTTTACGAGTGAATAACGTCAAAACCGAAAGTGATATCGAAACTTTGAAAATTGATTTTAGATCGCAATCAAAATGTCTAACTATCTGTAAGTTTTCATATCGATCAAAATAAATTTGTAGAAGTTAGAATAAAAGTGAAAAGAATGAAAAGAACGCACTGCAAAAATTCATCTGCAAAGTAATAAAAAAACATAAATTTCTGGATACAATATTTATTCTCATTCACATTTATACTTAACAGACAAAGTCTGTGTCACTGTGTTCAACAATTCAGTTTATCAATTATGCATGATCCTTTACCGCGATTTTCAATCATATTCAATCATTGGTTTTTAATGAAACAATAATGAAAGTTGAGTCATCATTTGGTAAACAAGAATAAAGTGATGCTACCGTTTTAGATTTAATATGAACATAGATAACAAAGGCATACCTATAATTTCTAGAAGAGGTTGGCTTGCAGATAATTCACCTTTAGGGGTTAACAACTTAGTCAAAAGATCTAAACCTTCAAACACTTCTCCTGGAATCTTTTTAGGGAATTTAATGTTGAATTCTCCTGCAATAAAATACATAAACATTTCACATTGGACAAATAATTTGGTATAATTTATTTGTAGGCTACGCAATAGAATAAACAATTTCTAAAAAATTATGTGTTTTTTTTATTTTGGTGGCATTTGGTGTGATTAAAAATTAATGGCATTCTGGAATTTATTTAGAATATTTGTGAAAAGGGAGAAATAGTCAATTCTAACTTTGCTCACGACTCATTGGGTATGCTAGACTAAGGGTATTATCAACTTTCCTGTACGGTACCTGTAGAGCCTTCAGGAATGAGGAAATCAATGTAAACACTCGGATAAAAATCAATTTTTCCTGTCACATACCTTTTTCGCCCTCATATTTGGCAGACTCTCTCCCATCTTCAACAAGATCGCCAGGTAAATTCAATCGTAAGAAATAAGGTTTTGAGAAAAATTTAAATTCATTGTTTTCTACGAATATTTCTGTTTCAGAAATGTTACAATATGGGGCTTTAATACAGAAATAAACAAATGTATTGTTTTGGTCTAACTGAAAAACTGGAGTTAACATATTGTTTCTTCTTTTAATCAAAACCTTTTTTCACAAGTTATTGTCTAAATTCACGAGCGCAGCCATTGTTGGACATTCTAGTTATCTCCCTTTAATAGTTTTCATCAGTACTGATTTTTAGTAATCCGAATAATCAGATCATCAAACGTAGTCCGAATATTTATGATTTGTATTTAGCATTGGGTTCCAAAGCCCTTTTCCATACACTTTAATTAGTTATGAGATTACCTAGGTCAAACGTATTATAAGAAAACTAAAGGGTCATAGGAGTTGACTTCCAGAGGACGTAGCATTACTGAATCAGTTGGCCTTCATACTGTTCATACTGTATTCTGTTTAAAGTAAGCATTAACTGCTTCTAGACCACCTTAAAGTTGACTTGTTGTTTGGTTGATTGGTTGATTGGGGTGTGCACTAATTATGACTAAAAATTGTAGAGTTGTTATTGGCTGTTTTATTTATAATAAAGTCCTTGTTGTTATAGCATGGATCTTGGACAGAATTTCAACTGGTCATCTTTCCATGCAGTGTTAAGGTTGGATTTGAACTGGTTCAGGGTTGTAGATTCCACGACAGAATTTGATAAGGAATTCCAAGTGTTTACTATTCTGTGACAAACTATTCTCTTGATAAACTACACCGAGGTCCTTTTCTTGGAAATCTTGGTTAAGGGGTCTGTTTGGGTCTCCTATGTAATAATGGTGTTTCGGGTTGTTGAATCCAAAGTGGAGTGACTTGCATTTCTAAATGTTGAACGGCATCATCCATTTATTTAACCAGTCTACTAGGTTGTTCAAATCTCCTTGGAAATAGGTGATATCAGACTGCTGTCCACTATTCAACAACATATGATTGTATTTTGGTCAAAGCTTGTCGATCTAAACTCTGAGAAATGATCGCATAAATTACATAGTCTCGTCTTGCAGTTACATACAACAGGTCAGAAACGGTTTAAACATATTAAATTCATAAAAGAAATATTAGATCACAATGGCTTATCTTATGTATGGTTGAATCAATCGATTATATCATTTAATACTAAACTCTTGAAATGCTCCATCAAACAAAAAACCTAAGTCCAATTTATTCAAAAATGGAACAATGATATTTGTACTTCTTCTAGAGGAGAACTGTATTACCTAGTTAAACAAAACTTTGGTATTGAAGAATATTTGCTGAAAATGAACTCTTCTCAAAGAATTAATCTATGTAAATTCAGAATCTCAAATTTAAAATTACCGATAGAAACCGGAAGATGAAATAAAATTCCTAGAGATGACAGAAAATGTCCACTATGTAATAATGGAATAGGCGACAAATATCACTATCTCTTCCTCTGTCAACATCCATCGATTTTATTCTTCAGAATTAAGTACTTTCCTAAATATTATACAACATATTCGTCAAAATATAAAATCAAAAACTTATTTTGTTATAATAATATACGAGTTTTATCAAATATAAGTGTATTTATTTATCATATTGAAAAGACTATATTAAAATGTAAATAATCCAAGACAAGATTTAATAATATTATATTTGTTAACACATTGAATTATTTTTATTATTATTGTGTAGAAATTGTTATATTTATATTTCATGTAATCTCTTGTTACCCACGCTGTGGGTCTGAGTTAATAAATTTTTGTTCTGTTCTGTTCACTAGGTCCCATAATCTTTGTGTCATCGGAAAATATTGATGGTATATCGTTTATATATATATGGAAAAGTATAGGGGACTCCACTATTAACATCTACCCATGGTGGTGTGATTTAGATAATCATGACTCTCTGTCTTCTGTTGGTTAGGAAGTTTTCTACCCACTTTAAAATTTTACCAGATATGCCAAGATTTTGCAATTTGATGAGAAGTCTCTTATGCGGAACCTTGTCGAACGCCTTCTGAAAGTCTAAGTAGATTGCATCTGTTGTTATGGCAGAATCTATATTTTCTGTTAGGTAGTCCAGTACTTCCAGAAGTTGAGTGGTGGTTGAACGACCACATCTGAATCCATACTGATTAGAAGTTAGTAGCGAATTGTTTTCCAGGAATTCATCATCTCATTTCTTATTAGCGATTCCATTGACTTGACCAATATACTAGTGAGGCTGACAGGCCTGACAATGCCTTTGGGTGGGGGACTGCTCGTTTACATGTTTATTATTTTCGTTTCTGGGCTAAGTAATATATCCAGATTCAGATTGTTTTTTTTTTGCAATGCTTGCTGCTCGCAAGGATTCATGAATAAGACTAGTATGATTTCCTAGACTGTGTTGCTGTACTGTATAGTCATGAGCGTGTAGCCCAGGTTAGTTACTGTATCAGCTGTTAGAGATTACATGCAGGACACGCGATCAGGAGTTTCGGATTACGTTTTTACTTGTGCATTTAATAAGAACCATACATGATAATAAGAGTGTTATATAATAGCGTGGAATAAAAGTTGATAATTAGTCTTTCATTATAATATATCAGATACAAACCTATAATTATAACTTAGAACCTGTTAAATACAAGATTATTATATAATCGCCTCCAGAACTGGCAACGATTCAGAAGTCATGTTTCGTATGAAAAACTTTGTTACTTGACAAAAGACCGATTTATTGGTATCCGACGAGGCACGATGATCATGAAATCTGTAAAGAATTTGACAATATTTTGCAATGAATATGAATTCTTTTCTGTAGTAACGATATCATGAAAAACAATACCTCACATCAGATAATTTTCGTTTTCCTTTTTTAAATTTATATATAAAAAAAACATTGAGTATATATAATAACTCGTCAACAGGTTCATCAAAACCGTTCGATCTTTGACAATGGGCGGATCGAAACAAAACATTGATCATATCATATGCTTTAATAAATAACTATAAATATCTATACAGTTAAGTTACATAATTGAGACAATGGTTTTTAAAGAAATCTCAAATGATATTTGAATTGGGAGATTTTTCATGGATTGACAAGCGAGATATCATTACTGTAAGACATTTCTTCACTCCATAAATATTGATATTTTGCTATACACCTCATGCCTTTTAAAAATAACGACACCCTTTAAATATTGAAGTTTTAGATTTGAACAACAAACGATGGCATGCAATCATTAAGTTAACGAAAATATAACGAAAAGAAATATCTTGTTACTCTATGCTATGATCATCCATTTATCCCGTCAAAATTCCATAAATTAGGCCCGTTGTATGACAATCTACCATTCATAATATTAATAATAGGCCAATGAATCCACCAAGATTTTCTTACTCTGATGAACGTATACATTGGGTTTTAATACACAAATAAAATAAGAATTCTCCCCTAATACAAAGTTTTCGGTGATGAGTATAAGAAATGATCCAATGTGATATCAGGTGATGGGTTACGAGATACACACGATCACAAGGAAACTTCCACGATTCCTGAGATACTAGTCCGAAGTTGGAAACAAATTATAGCTACTATCAAATACAGATTGTTTATTTCAGTCACAAATAAAACGAAATTAATCTTTCCCTGTCTCCCCGTCCCTTGATAAATAACGTAACATTATATAAATAACTCTATTGTTACTAGCACATTTAGAAGGATTACGTCCTACTTACGTTTTACTTATTAAAGCATTTTCACAGTCCATCTCTAAGTTGATTACTGGGATGTAATTATTTTGGTATCACCTTTATTTGATTACAAAAAGTACTATCGAGAGATCCAATACCAAAATTTCGGATAGTAATATTTTCCGTTATTCAGACTGCTATTGTTTTTTCATTTCATTATACTGTGACGACAGTTGTTGTAATTTAGACTTAAGCTCCTGGTCAGTGTTGACGGCATTGGTATAATACTCCTCATCCTGAGAACTATTGGACATATCTGAACGATGATGACCACCATTTGTAGAACTATCCGATAATTGACCAGCAATGTTCATACCAATAGTTTTCTGACTGTCATAGTATTCGGCTTTGACTGGTAATTTTAGAGGACTTATCTGTTGGGGTGTATCCAGTTTCTTTGTGAAATCGATGGAGCAATCTTCTGGAGAATGAACATCAATTTTCCTGGAAAGAGTTAAATCTGCTGGTATCTGTGCTGGTGTATTTCCAGAATATATAGGTGGTGTTGGGTAGGGATAATACTGAAAGTTTGATCTATTAATAGTGGGGTTTTCTTCCGCCATATAACGTTCGTAATTAGCGTATAAAGCGTGTTTGTCTGATATATCTTGAGACATGATCGGATATTTGTCACCATTTTGATACATTTGAGGATTGACATAGCCATTTTCTGTAGGCAACTGATTCCAAGCAGCATATACCTCATAGCCATTCATTTCTGCCTTAACCCTAGCTGGTTCTTGATGTCGGCGCATGTCAGCGTTCATCCTATTGTAAGGGCTTATGGATTTAGCAATACCGGCCATTGGATATCGAGAACCAGTAGGTGACATCATGCTGTTATCACTTCCGTCCTCACTCTCTGATTTTGCACCAGTATCGTGAATTTGGCGTGGATTTCGCATATCATGCATGCACTGTGATCTATCGTCTTGGGTAAGGAAACTTTGATCTGGGGGAATACCAAACTTTGCTTTCATTAGGCTTATTTCTTTACGGAGTAATGCATTTTCTTCTTCAAGAAAAGAAACCTTATTTCTAACATCTGATTCAGCTTGCCGCTTGCATTCTCTAGAACGTTTTGCTGCCATGTTGTTCCGTTTCCTTTTTTCCCAATATTTATCATCTTTATCGTTATCTGGTATACTTCTCTTTGCTCGACGTTGTACGATTTTGGGCATAAAACTTGCATCTCCACAATGACCCATCCAGGAATCCTGAGAACCATACATTTGTGGATCCATAGCGGAAATACTGAAATACACGAGAAAGAATTTGAAATGAAACAAAAGAAATGTACGGGAGAACTTGGTGTATATCCTAAAATCCACTTTTCAAATGAGATCCTAAAAACTCAAAGCAAATTTTTAAAAATCGTGTATTTGGCCACGTTATTTATCTTGCATCAGTATCTACAGTATTCATCATCTGTAGCTGGTAACCTCGTAAATAAGACCGAGATAATATATATTCATGAGGTCATGTGATTTTCAAACCGACCAATCAACATGCTTGCAAAGTAGTCGTATTTACATTTTGTTTTGTAAATATGAACACACGTACGAAAGGAGGAATATCGTGAGGAATATAATGAGCCCTGACAAGTGATCAAGCATGAAAAGTTATTTTCATAATGTGAACCACCTACCATCTACATCATGTATGGAGATAGAGTTGTTATATATTTAAGGGAATACACATATATTCAATCTGAGGAACAGTGTTTGGGTCAAGGGTTTTTTTTTGTCTTATTTTCACTTATCTAAGTTTATAATCAGTTAAATAAGCTGGTATCGAATTAGTTTCACTGATGTCCATTTCGTATATTTCGCTATCGTTATGTTTCAGTGAGTCTATTCTATACTTATGTATCTTGATTACAAACATCTCGTGGCCATTTGGCCCCAATTATCCCTACAATTTACATATTAAGGCAAGTTTTAGTTTAAGGTAATTAAGCATAAGATGTAAAGAAAATGAAACAGAAACTAAGTTAGGGGTAGGGTTACCATCGGGTCATATTTACGTGTCATTTAAACCCTTGAAAACCCTTATCTAAAGATTTGCCACGTGTTTTGATAAATTGTCAACAATGATTGTATATTTTCCACTCTTATAGTAATCCCTTATTTAAACTTAATTATTAAAGGAACAATAACTTGAACTCCATATAAATAACAAATGTATGAATGTCAACACTATATAGTAGCACCATATAAATATGGCATATTGACATTTCGTAACTTGAAATATATGGTAGTGTTGACATGTTGACGCTAATGGTGTCATGTAATAATTTGAATAAAGTCAGTTTATTAATGTTTGAAGAACGAAATTAATATTTTTACCCCTCTGAAATTATTTCTATACACAGTTTTATCACAATAATGATCAGAGAGCACCGCTTTGAAAGCATTTTAACAACATTAATATATCTCAGGATTTATATCAGAAATGATTTTCAATCTATCTGTAAACGTTCTGAAAGAAAACACTTTCATTTTTAGATTTTTAATAATTCATATCGAAAAAGGATTTGGAATTATTCTAAAAGATAACTAATGTATCGGTGATTGGTCATTTGGACACATATGAATATTTTTTTTTATGTATTTATGATATTTTCATTTCAAAAGTTATATGAAATTTTCATTAGAATAATTATGAATTTCTTCATGAAAGTTTCATTTGAGTAGATTTAGATATTTTCATGAAAGGTTAATTTGAATAGATTTAGATATGTTCATGAAAGGTTAATTTGAATTGATTTAGATATGTTCATGAAAGTTTCATTTGAATTGATTTAGATATTTTCATGAAAGGTTAATTTGAATAGATTTAGATATATTCATGAAAGGTTAATTTGAATAGATTTAGATATTTTTATGAAAGGTTAATTTGAATAAATTTAGATATGTTCATGAAAGTTTTATGAGAAAAGTTTTAGATATGTTCATGAAAGGTTAATTTGAATAGTTTTAGATATGTTCATGAAAGGTTAATTTGAATAGATTTAGATATGTTCATGAAAGGTTAATTTGAATTGATTTAGATATGTTCATGAAAGGTTAATTTGAATAGTTTTAGATATGTTCATAAAAGTTTTATGAGAAAAGTTTTAGATATGTTCATGAAAGGTTAATTTGAATTGATTTAGATATGTTCATGAAAGGTTAATTTGAATAGTTTTAGATATGTTCATGAAAGGTTAATTTGAATAGATTTAGATATGTTCATGAAAGGTTAATTTGAATAGTTTTAGATATGTTCATGAAAGTTTTTTGAGAAAAGTTTTAGATGTGTTCATGAAAGGTTAATTTGAATTGATTTAGATATGTTCATGAAAGGTTAATTTGAATTGATTTAGATATGTTTTTGAAAGGTTAATTTGAATAGTTTTAGATATGTTCATAAAAAATTGATATGAAACGCTGTAGATGTGTTGCGGAAGTTTCATTAGAATAGTTATATTTTTAAAATTTTGATTTTAATTCTTTATAAATTTATAAAGTTAAAGGGATTGTAAAGAGATTCTATGTGTATCGGAGAATTTTCATTCTGACGTCTATGGTTCTTGAAATTCCACTAAAACTAACGCGTTTTATGACTTCACTAGCGGAGAACTGCAATAGTAGCTTCCGGTAGCATCCCTCTAGTGACGTCATAAAACGCGTTATTGTAAAAAATTCTGATATCACAATATTTAGTTGAGGCAACATTAAATGAGAATATGAACGGAGAAAAAAATCTAAAAATGTGTAAAATTCTATTATTTCCACCAAGTATTAAGTATTATTTTTTCCCATTGTAAACGAACGCATTGTGATGATTTTTTGCTGAATTTTCTGAATGTTTCGAGAATATATCAGAACAGTTGAAAAATAATTGCCAGCTTCTGGTAAATTTTGACTTAACTTAAAATTTTCAGTTACCCATATTGTTGGTATTGAGGTGTGGTTAAACAATTTAATTTTGTCATACGATTGCAACCAGTTCTCTTTTTTTAAATTCAAGTTTCATTAATATATAATATTTAAGATTTGATTGTTTATCAAGTTCCATTTAGAATAATGTTAGATTTGATTGTTTATCAAGGGGGGGCTTTTACAGGAGAAAAATTAATATTTGTGAGAATAAAGTAAAATTTAGAATTAAAAAGGCAGGAAAATTGAGTTAAAAGAAATTAAGAGAGAACCAGTTTACATTAGAGAAGAAGGCGAGGTTTACATTAGAGAATGTTTACAATCGAGAATAAAATGACGTTTATATTAGAGAATGTTTACATAAGAGAAGTGAGATACCGTTTACATGAAAGAAAGATAATGTTTACGGTAGAGAATATCTACATAAGATTAGAAAAAAGTTTACATTTGAGAAGAAACAGAATTTTTACATAACAGAAGTAAGAGAAAGTTTACAGAGAAGATAACGTTAACGTTACAGAAGAAAGAGAACTAAAAAATAAAGTACGTTTGCAAAGTCGAAAGATAACGTTTACATAAAGAAAAATATTAGTAGAGCAGAGCTTGATTTTTATTTGTATAAACTATAAAACTATTACTCCGTTTATCGAAACAAATTTAGTGTAATTCCCTAATGTTTAGTACTGAGAACCAATGGTTATACTATTGTTATTATTATGTGGTTATGTTTGTGACAGCTCACTGATTCAGTCCCTCACATACTTCAGATCATTTTATTACAACAGAAACAAATAACTGGAAATTAATAGACTCACAGTTTCCATCCGCTTGATTTTAATGTCTATTTTCAAAAGCGATTAAACTTTTATCAGAATCAGGCTTAATCTTGTTGTTGTTAAACATGGCAATGTGGAAATAATAATAATTGTATTTCTAATGTACTGAAATAAAATTCAATTTTATGAAAACCATGTTCAATCTTGTTTCTTATAAAAAAAAATTCTTTTGAATTGATTTTGTGACTTGACGTTATTGTTTGTTCAAAAGAATTTCAAAATATTTTTTTCACCTCTTATATTGATTGAATCCTCTGCGCCTTTACGATAGGAGTTGTTACAATATTTAAGTATGTCAAAATGTATTCAGATGAAAGACTGCCAACAGTTAGTGACAGTAAACAGTAAAAATGTGCGGAAATTAATTAAATCATATATTTTGCCTAGATGTTATGACTATATTAGAGTGATTTGCATTTATCTTCCTAAAAGCGAAAGACTTGACCAATCTGATTGGTATATAGGCTATTCTGCTATTCTTTATTTCTAGCTTTAAACAGGTTTGCTGAGGTCGGTATCTTACGCAATAGGATTTATTACCCTGAGATTAAATTTATCAGAGACATCAGATCATATTCTTTAATATTATAAATTTTTAAAATCTCTTACACCTCATAAATATTTCAACGCTCTGACAAAGCTGATAATCTATCTATGAACTATTAATATCCCCTGGTATTAACACCTTGAGAATTTGGGGGCTCGTTCCCTCAGGGTCAAGCTGATTGAATAGGAGTGGATGAAATATGTGTCCCTAATTTGACCCCAATCGTAAAAAACCAAGGGCTTGGATAAATACCATATTAAATGGATTAGCGCTCCTGGATTAACTAAAGAAATATTTTAGGAGACGAAATTATACATCTCTAAAGTGACTCCAAAATAAGAAAAAAAAAATAAGAATTGCAAAATATATTATGAACTGTCAATGATTGAGAATTTTAGATTATTTGAACATGCTACACCATAAGCTATCATTAGTCTAATGCTCTGAGCTGTGACATTATCTTCTTACGTTACTTTCCAAGCAAACACCCGAAAAGATTTCCTTTGATACTATTTTTTCTCCAAAATGAAATGATAATTTATCAATATTAGTTTCGTAAAGATTATATATCTTAATAACTTTAATTATATTCTTTATGAAAATATATAACTATTTATATGCGAGTATTTTAACGGCTGATTATCATGACAATAAACAAATTTACTTTAAATGTGATTCTTGATTTTAAGACCTATTAATATAGTATTATAAACTTTGAAGAAAAAATTGTTGTAAAACCGTGATTCAATAAAAAAAAATCTAACCGAAGATATTATCTAAAAACTTATAATGTAAATTACAGGGAAATTGTAAAATCATAATCAGTCAGATTAATATACTTTCAACAAGTTACAGTCTTAATGTTCGTGAATCTAACGGGATTTCCGATTGAAAAATCCAGCTTATTACCCACCATCGCATTGGGTTACAATTTACTTTTTGACTAGAAACTAAATATTTCAAAATATAAAATGTAAATAAGCGTGTACTGTCAACTACAAAACAAAACCATTAATGGCATAAACCTACCCATCTTTATTAATTTTCCATTTTAACTTTCAGAAAGACTTAGATGGAAGATTATTGAATAATTCAAACTTAATTCCCCGAACATTGTTGAAACAATTAGTACAGTACCGAAGGTTAAAATGTTATTTCATTTTTGAAGTTAAACTTACTTCCATAAATATTTGTTTTTTTTCTGGATCAAAATTATGAATAGATTTTGTAATTGATGCGTATTCCATGCATTAGTAAATAATTATTGGGTTAAATACTTATAAATAAATTATATGTTGTATATATTATTTACTATTATTTTTAGGTTTATATTTTATTAAGAAAGTGAATATAAAGTTTAATAACATACAGAAACTTTTCATTTTATAAAATATCTACGTTTTTTCGTTCGTTCTCTAGAACGTTTATGTTTAGTTATATAAATACTTTGCGAGCATCGAATTTGAAATCTTTTTGAAAAAAAAAATTATACTTATATAGCAGATCCTTCAGATAATAAATTATTATATGTGAACCCGGAATGGAGCAATATCCAAGATCATTTTGAATATATATATCCGTGTAACACATTTCGATGACGATTTCACCAATACGATTAAACTGTGAATGATCTGGAACATTGAATCGAATATTAAAATTCCAGTAAAAAATAAAGTGAACATTATTAATGAATGTCCGCGTTTGAAACTGTAATTATAATTAAAGTATGCCAAGTCCTTTATTAAAATATATATGTAAAAAATGTATCCAACTGTATCCGATTAATTCAATGAACAAGGTAAAATTCATATGTTGAATGTGTGAAGCTTTAGTTATTATATATCTATGTGAATATGTAATAAAATTATCTGCTATATAATACAAATCACATAATGTAATATGTCTATGTAATGAAATGGTTATTTTCCACATTAAAGTTATATCATTATCAAGTCCCTCTCTTCTCAAATATCTTATGTTATAACCTAAACAGATAAGCTGGTTAGATTATCCAACTTCTTCCATATAAGTTATCATTGGTGTAAACAATTGTTTATTATTATTACACTATAGTTAAAACCAATTCGCATACCTATGTGACGTAACGAATCGCGTAATAACTTAAAATTTCGTCAGGGCGCGAAATAGAATTACGTAAAGACTACACTGTTTAAATAAAATGTTATTACGTAAAGTTTCCTCTATAAGATAATAATAATATTTCACTCACCTTTATTCCTAACTTGTACAGATAACTTCTAGTCTCGAACTGACCACTGTTTTTTTTACTTAGTGCTGGTCAAGCTGAAATTGTCCAGTGATTGGTTGGTTAGGATCTGAGCTGAGAAATAGTCAGGTAGATCTATAAGTTGCTGTGGGCAGTCTTTAATCTGTATTAATGTGGTGGTCACCCCTCGCTTAAACAATCCAATACTACATAGATATAGCTATCTTCATGCTTTTACTACATAGAAGAATAATTTACTTAGAATAGTGGGAATATAAATTGATGTTTGATTCAATAGTTTTGAATTAGTTATAGATCAAATCCCCAACCCGGGGTCAACGTTGACCATGAATAATTTCTACGCGTGCGTCATTTTGTTTATGAGATAATAGGGTTTAGTATGAAGTTATTAGTGACGTAACTACGAGAGGTAATATGCAAACAATAGACGACCAGTCGATCACACCTTATTTGTTTCGCTTCACTGAAACCAAATTAATGAAGTATTATATAATTAACTTTGACAGCTCGTTACTGATCAATTGTTTCAAAATTCTTTCAACTTTTGTTTTCAAGAACCGCTTTCGAACGTTATGGCAGATATCACGATCCATTACCATGGCAAACTACGACGGTAATATACCCACACAAATCTCTCTACGTCATGAATTTACTATCCTATAATAATGACAGCTAAATGAAATTGTTGACCTATGATAAAGGTAAAGTTTAGTTCAATTAATGTTTATTCAAAAGACATTCGAACAAATCAACTTCCTCAAATTGTTTATGTCCCAAATTTAAGTAGTTTTGCTCTTAGTCTAGGATAGAGAAGATAGCTTGATTATAAAAACATTACATAAAGTTCCAGATCAAAATTCACTTGAATCATTAACTGTGTTTACTCATTTTTAAAGAACTGAGACAGATTATTTTTGACTACCGAGAGTCTTTATGGGAAATATTTTGTTGGCATGTCAAACATTTACCTACATTCGGACAAATTTTAGTTTGGTTTATGATTTATGAACTATATTTACGGACTATACATGAAAAGTCAACTTCCTGACGTACAACTGGGCAAATCAAGTAAACTACTGACTAACATTAAGCTGATAATATATTCTAGGCACTACAGGTACTATACTAACTGACTCCTCACGAAAACGTCTGCAACATCCTTTACAAAACCAAGCTACTTGCTTTTAACTGGACAGATTAAATATAATAGCCCGTTCATAGGATAATAATTGGAGAGATCACAAACAAATCTGTTTCAAATAAAGTCAAGTATTCATCAGCATGCATTCAGGGCTGTTCAGCAAAAGTTAGAATACAGGACTATAATTGGATATATCAAGCAGAAGTCGGTATACCGGACTATAACTGGACAGGTCAAATAAGAGTCAGTTGTATGATACCAAACAGATGTATATTATATAACTGTAATTAGTAGAAATATTACTGTATGTTCATCTTTATTAGATTTTCTGGTAAAAGGACAAATGTTCTGTAATAGTATTATAATTATCACTAGAAATAATGAAGGGAGGATAAAGATGGCGTGGGCTGAAGACTGAATGAAGACACACCCTCCGTTAATTCTTCCTGCTAATGATCTAACCTTTAGCATTCTATACATTTTATTTCCAACTCTATGATAAAAACAATAACAAAGTCGTATTTACATTATTCTATTACTTTTATTCTAAAGATTCGATTGTCATTTCGATGTCAACTCGTATTAGAATGGATCTGTCTTTAGTAGCCCCTGTTTCTTTAAAATGAGGTACAAATACATATATTTCGTGTCTTTACATATTCAACATGTACTGGCACACGAGTTTCCATACGAAATTCGGTGCCAAGGTTCTTAAATGTTACAAAGCATATGTCTACTTCCAGTATTTCTGGTTATTCTTATTTCTTTAAAATTGAAAATAAACTAAACTAAGTCAATTAACTTTTTCATATCGTTAAATACATTGATACGTTTGATGTAGTTTAAATATTATTTATTTTTCTGGAAGAGAGTTTGAAATTTGACCCAACGTAACTTTGCAAACGCAAATGAGATAAACCTAAGATGCTTAATGTTGGCTTTAGATGATAATCATAGAAGATTGGGTGATAATCAAGCACTAATTAGTTAATGAGTCTAAGCAACTGTGTTAATTATAATATATTCCGTATACACAGTATAAAACCATTAATTGATCCAGATAATTCTAAAAACTACCATAATTACCAACAACTACCCAGTCTGTGATCCCAGATATCTGGTAACGGACTTTACTTGTCAACTACCACCACCAACAGGATACTATCATTTGTATCTCTTCAACTGCACACCTTTCTTATCAATTTCAATGGCCAAATTCCGTCTTCTGAGTAAATCACGACTCTTTTCGATGTTGAGTCTCTTAGCATCAGCCCGACAGCGGAGCATTGAAATAATTGCTCATTAGTCTATTTTCAGTTTTCAGTATTAGAATCAGAGGTTTAGGCTTGTTAAACATCATTCGTTTCATTTGTGATATACCGCATTCAGGAATACGAGATATAACCCATTCAAGTACTAGACAAAATTCTAAAACAAGAAAATTCAAAATGACGAAAATAACAAAATTGGATCGGGCCTTTGACAATTCTAATCATAAAGTTCTTGAAAGATCTAACCATACAGTTCTTGATAGATCTAACCATAGAGTTATTGATAGATTTAACCATACAGTTCTTGATAGATCTAACCATACAGTTCTTGATAGATCTAACCATACTGTTCTTGATAGATCTAACCATAGAGTTATTGATAGATTTAACCACACAGTTCTTGATAGATCTAACCATACAGTCATACAGTTCTTGATAGATCTAACCATAGAGTTCTTGATAGATCTAACCATAGAGTTATTGATAGATCTAACCATTCAGTTCTTGATAACCACAGAGTTCATGAAGGGAGACAACCCTCTATTGTTTTTAACACAATTAATTTATAAGACATTTGAACAAGAGTAAAATGATGACCCATCCAAAAATCTTTCTAAAAAGAATAAAATTCTTCACCATAGAAAAGTTACTTTATTTCTGATACAACACAATGTTTAAATGTGACCCCTAACTATTCAAAGTACTGATCAATATTTGTACACCACCAAGGTTTTTTATGTGAACATGAATAATTATCTATTTTTACATTAGTAATAAAGATAATTTGATATTTTTGCTCAGTTGTCATCGGTTTAATCAACTAGCTTGGCGAGTCACAATGCAGATACTACATTAAATTATTACTGCATTAAAACTTATCATCAATACATAAAAAAAAATTACGTACGACAAAATCTTTAAGGAATCGTTGTTTATGTTGAATGATCTTCATGGCAATTTGTGTCAAGAAATAACATAAAATAATAAATGAATTAACAAAAGAATATTGGTGTGAAACTTGAGTAAAAATAACAAATTGTAAATAGGGCGGAAGAAAACTTTGAACAAAATATCAACAGAAACTCAAAAAATAACCAAAAAAAAAAAAAACTATTTGGAAACAAAAAAAAAATGATAAAGAATTGGAAAGCATTTTTATAAAGATTTTGGCATTATGCGAAGAGTAAAACAACAGAATAGATCTAGTTACTTTTTTAGAGACGTTCAACTCGAACATCCATTCCATCCGGAGTTGACACCCATCGTCTTTCGTTAGTTCGAGTATTATATTCATATACTCTACCGGTCACTGAAAAATATGGCATAATAATTAGATTTTTTTGGGGAAAAGAGTAGGCGAAGTGTTTTATCTTAAAATCCGGTGATGTGTTTTGATTTTTTGTTGGATAGTAATAATTAAAAATATGATAAGGGGTGCAACTCCTACAAGACTATAGGTCAGTTCAGCCAGAAGCTACCAGTGAGATAGACATGCTGTGTGCAACCTAAGCCATCGACGATTAATTATCCGATCCGAGTTAATCTTTCAGCAGGTTGCTAGAGATTTCTGCCAGAGGAACAGTTTTACAATTTTATAGACAACTAGCGCAATCACCAATATATCTCCAACCTTAATTTCGACCAAAATAGTTAGCCATGTTGATAAAGGCACCACTCAAATACATCTTGCACGTGCATTGGTTTTATCCATTTGTATTTAAGACATCTTGTCAAAAATGAACCCAATGATGTTACTATCTATGATACAGGAAACTGAGTTTATTAACGTCCAGGAAATTATTGCTGAGCTCAACTAATACATACCTGGATCAACGGCTCTCCCGTCGAATTCTCGATTAACCAGCAGATAGCCATTGTCTTCCAGTTCTTTTGGTGTTATGATGACGTTTCGTGGCGATCTCACACCGTCGCTACGATTAACCTCTGGTGACTCTTGTGTTCTATTTGGTTTTACAAGATTGCTAGACCCAGCAACCTTCGGAGACTTCACTACCCGTGGGGTTCTAACTGGTATCTTAGTGTCTTCAGGGGCTCCCCAAAATGGTTCGTCATAGCTTCTCTTCTTCTGTTTTCTCTGAAATTGTTTGTATCTATTTTTACAAATGTAGAAAAAGAAGGGGAAAGAAGAATGAATTAATCCACCCTGTATTTGTTGTTTATGTGTTTAAACTAGATTACCACGCAATGTAAAACTTTTACGGTACTAGGAAATAAAATGAATAGTCTCTTTATTTTTGCACACCATATATATTCTTTTTGCTTTATGTAATTCAAACATATATAAAAATAAATTTGTAAATGAATATGTAAATTTATATCGGAAAAATTATCAATTTGAATTTTAGATACATGTATAAATATTTCTATATTTGACTTACATCTACTTCTGGTAATGGTAAAGCTAATACTGCTGGTAGAGGATGTTTCTTCTGGTCATTTAGGTTCAAATCGGGAACATTATCTGTAACATTTTGTCATATTATGGTTTGTGACAGCATGGCAAACGTTTGAATAGTAAAATACAGCTACAAGGTGAATGTGTTGTATTTTTGATTACAGACATGTAATTACTTTCTATATTTATATACAATATGTACTATATACAACATTTATATCTTAAGGTGTTGCTAAGGCAAACAAATCTTAATTCTCATAAATTCTAAAATGATACATACTTTGCTTGGAAACATACACTGGAGCAGATTTTTCTACGGCATTATCTTTCCTATTCACCTCTCTGACAGGAGTAATTGGCCTAGAATCAATATTTCATTTATTAAATGAATGAATTAGAGCTTTAATGGGTATTGGACACAATTTATTCAGCAATCGTTGCAAGGTGACCCCCTGCTAAGCTCAAAATTTTGACTCCACATTGAATCGTTACAAATTTTTCGTAACAACCAAACGATAAAATTTTTCCCCAACTTTTTCTTGAAGCATGAATCACTCTTAGATAATTCATAATAGTTTTTAGGGTTTCCATTTCCATGGAAACTACATGAAGGAGTACACGCACCTCAATACATGGGCTATATTAAACTTTTCATTTGTTACATAGGATAATCAACCGATGGTAATTTATACAATATTTTGTTGTTTGGTACAAATGTTTACTCCCGTTGTTTATTGTACATATAACAAGAACATACTTACCGTTTCTGTTTCCGATGCCTTCTGAGAAAGAAAAATATCAGAAGAAGGATCAGAGCTAAAACCAGGAGACAGCAAAGAACAATGATAACTATTCCAGTAGTTGTTTGTTCCCAAGGTGTTGTCTCCTCTACGTATGGTTTAACTGTTTCAACAGAGAACTCATTCCACGCAGACGATCCTGTGAAACAAAGGATATTTTATTTAGAGAGATTTTGTTGTCTTGGTCTTTTATAACCATTGAGTTATTCCCCATTAGTAGCTAGACTGTCAAACGAAAAGCACGAACTCTTTAACAGAAAAGGCACAGACAGTACAATCACGTTGTTTCCCACCGGTGACAAAACATTTGACTCACAAATGGTATGGGTGTCGAAATTAAACATAAAGCATCAAAAGGACAAATCCATTCCGTTGATTACCTGATATCGACGTTGATGGTGATCCAGATGTGGCATCAGATGTAGTTACTGCAAGAATTTGGTCATAGGTAAGGAACGTCTTTCCTTCATTCAAATTTGCTTGATCATCTGTTATATCGTCGGCAACTACATACGCATGTACATTGACAGGGCTAAAAAAGTTAAATATTTGTGTTCTTTTATCATAATATGACTATAGCGAATATTTCAATCCGGAAATATTTGTAAATATGTTAAACAGACATATTTTCTCTAAATTCCTTATAGAATTGTAAAGTTGTAAAGTTCCAAGTTGTAAAATGAGATCAAGCAAATCAAGTTATATCTTAATGCTACTTGGCATTTAATCATGACAGAGGGTTCAATACTTAGACAGTGTTTATTTACTTAGTGGCGAGAAGACGTCTTCTGGAAGTCGGTGGTGATATGGCTGTTCCTGCACGCTCCTCTGTGCACCACACAACTACTCGACAAGTTGGATATGTCGATACCAATAGACTTCTAAGCTCTGTTATAAATTGATCTTTCATAGCTTCAAAATCAGCTTTATTAATTGATAATTGAAAAGTGACCGCTATGGAATTTGGTATAAATGTATCTATTCTAAGTTGTGCAGAAGACGAAGATGTGAGTGAAGGAGAACCATTATCCTTTGCACCAACACTAATAGTGTATTTATTGGTAGCATCCAGTGTAGATGTAGATACCAGACTGAAAACCCCTGTAGAAAAATATACATCACAATAAATACTTTCATTATTAAAGAAGAGACTTCTTTTCAATATATACGATTCAATGAATAAGTCGATGTGTACTAAAGTGATAAAGCATAATATCTATTTAGTACATAAAGAGTGTGTCCTGGCGAAGGTGATCAAAACAATAAAGTTAGAAAACGTAAATTATAAATATTTACCAGAGTTACTGTCGATTTGAAAGAAACTACTTGAATCGGTCAGGAAAAATCCAAGCTGTGCGTTGACTCCTGCATCGGGATCTGTGGCTTTCACAGTTGTAATTATTCTAGAACACTGGCCAGCATAGGCAACCTCGGCATTATAAAATACTGGATTAAGTGTAGGGCTGTTGTCGTTTACATCTGTAACTATCAACGACACAGTGGCTGTTGAAGTCAAAGGCGAAGCTCCTCCATCAACTGCTAGAATTTTGAAATCAAAGCCTGGATGGATTTCCCGGTCAATATTTGACTTAACTGAAATAATTCCCGTAGTTGAATCAACAGCAAGGAACGTATTAGCGGAGGTGCCCAGTGCCGTAGATGTGTCAATGGTTAAGGTCACTACTGCATTAGCTCCTAAATCAGCATCAGTGACAGTCATCTGTAATATGCTAGTTCCTACAGGTGAATTTTCAACTGTTGTTGAAGCATATTTAGTGGAATCAAATACAGGGCTATTGTCATTTTGATCTAGAATATTTATGGTCACATTCTCTAACGTGTACTTTGATGGCGATCCTTGATCCTTCACTCTACAATTTATGATGTAAGTTGAAGTCATTTCTCTATCTAATGGATCTGACGTCGAAATTGTACGAGTTGCTGTATCTATGACAAAATTGGTGGGATTGCCTTGCCAAAAATTAAGTAGTTCAAATACCAATGCTGCATTAGCACCAACGTCTCGATCGGTTGCCGCTACACTTCCCACAGGTGAAGCTAAAGGCGAATTTTCCAGAATAGAAAAGATATATGGAGTTCCAGTGAATATCGGGGCATTGTCGTTGACATCATCAACTGTTATGATAACACTTATTGAATCTGTTAGAGGTGTTGCTCCTTTATCACTAATTGTAATATTCAGCGTATACGATGGTGTAATTTCTCGATCCAAAATGTTTTGAATCTAAAATATCAAAATCAAAATACATATTTCGCATTAAATTTGGCAAATTGCCAGTTTCTACGCACCAATTCTCTAAATGAGATCAATTTTATTTTAGAAAGGCATTGCAATTCAACTTAAGCAAGGTTCATATAGACATATACAGCTTAGTATCAATAATTGAATTAGGAGAACTTTGTGTTAAAATTCTGATATTTGAACTTTTGATGTTCATCCAGGTAAGCAACCATTTCACGCATAGGTGTATAACAATCAATAATATAAATGATACAAATCTCTATTATATACATACATTATGCCAGGGTGTGCATGTTTGCGATATCATACTTTACCTGAACAAGCCCAGCAATAGGATCTATTTTAAAGTCGTTGTTTGTATTTCCATTGGTTATAGAGAATACCAATTCTCCATTCACACCGATGTCCTGATCTGTGGCAACAACAGTGAATGCAGTGCTACCAATCACCCTATCTTCAGGTATGTTACTATCATATGTTCCAGTAATAATTGGTGGATTATCATTTACATCGTTCAATATGACTGTTACTGTTGCTGTACCAACCAAACTTGGTGTGCCTTGATCGGTTGCCAATATTGTCAAAATGTGACTACAATAATCATTGATAGACATCATGAAAGCGTCAAAAGCTTAATTTTATGACACAGACTATACGTTATGCAAGGTAAGATTATCGATGTATAGTTCATTCCCACATTGCTTAATTCTGATCTCCGAAGACATAATCCGTAGACAGTAGTTTTACAGATAGCTTTATGTATCTAAGAAAGAAATTGACCCTTGAACAGTTATCAAGGTGGCAGCTCACAGTCAAAGATTCTAAGAATCGATGCTATGTGTTTAAGGAGAGAAAACTGCGATTGAGAATCTAATGAGAATCTGGAAAGCCATATAAAGAATTATATCAAGTCTATGAAAATATAAGCCTACCTGTCAGCTGTTTCTCTATCTAGAGTCGCCTTTGTGCTGATTTGTCCACTGGTAGAACCAATCAAAAAGAATGAATTAGTAACCGAATAATTTATAACATTGTTGTTGTTAGCAGCAGAATCTGCATCATTAGCATTGACTGTTGTTACTGATGTTCCAACAGAAACATTTTCAGCTATATTGACAGTAAAATCTGCTGGTACAAAAACTGGTGTTTTATCATTAATATCATTTACTGCTATTCTTACTAAACATGAAGAAGTCAAGGCTGGAACTCCTCCATCTACTGCTTGGACAACTAAATAATATATCTGTTTCACTTCATAATCTAATGTAACTGATGTAGTTATATCACCACTAGTACTGTCAATATTAAAACTTCCTACACCATCACCCGATACAATAGAATAAGTCACTTGTCCGTTTACTCCAGAATCTTTATCTATAGCTTGGACAGTATTCACTATGAAGCCAACAGTTTTGTCTTCATCAACTGCTGGAGTGTATGTATTCTGGGTGAATTGCGGGGTGTGATCATTTTCATCAGTCAACGTAATGGATAATGTCAACGAATCTGTTAATCCGGTGCCGTCACGGGCTTCAATTATTATGCTGTACGTTGTTGGCGGTGTATCAAAATCTAACTGTGACCAAACCATGAAAGCGCCAGTAATGTCATTGATGCGAAATGCCGAACCTATATTACCACTAGATATAGAATATCGTATTTTTCCATCAGTTCCCGCGTCAGCATCAGTTGCTGATGCTGTATAGATGATTTGTCCGGCTGCTGTAGCTTCACTTAGAGTAGCTGAAGGTGAAGTGTCAGTTAATACAGGCGGAAATTCATTTGCTGCTTGAATATTGATATTTATAACGGCTGTATCAGTTAGTGGCGGAAGACCTTGATCAGTGACTAAAATGTCGAGCTTGTAAGAGTTAACTGTTTCGTAATCTAATGCATTTGTTATTATTAAGTTGTCATTTACAAACTTAAAGTCATTATTAGGGTCTCCATCAATAATTGTGTACACAACATTTTTGTTGACTCCTGAGTCATCGTCTGTAGCCGTTACTATTACAACAGTAGCTCCAACTACAGCAGTTTCTGCTACATTTGATGTGTAGGTATCAGGTACAAATACAGGACTATTGTCATTAATATCTGTGACTGTGATTGTTACGGTGGTATCAGCAAATTTTTCTGCTCCTGAACCAGCTACATCATCGGTTGCTCTGACGGTTAATATGTGTGTTTGTGCTGATTCATAGTCCAATGATTTTGCTATATTGAGTTTACCAGAATTAATTCCAAGAGCAAACAGACCACCCCCGTCACCATTTACTACACTGTATCGAACTGTTCCTTGTTGCAATCCGACATCTTGATCAGTTGCTAATATTGTGGCAATGGTGCTCCCTAACGCAAAATTTTCTGCTATTATCTCGTTGTATGGTGTAGATTGAAAGACTGGGCTATGTTCATTTACTGGTGAGACAGCCACTTGAACTGTGGCTGTAAACAATCTCTCTGGAGCTGTCTGGTCAGATACTTGAATCTCTAAGGTGTGTGACGTTTGTGTTTCGTAATTAAGGGCTGTAGCTGTTAGAGTCACTTGGCCGGTCGCAGAATCTAATGAAAATTCTCCACCATTGCCCGAAATCATAGTGTATGCCAACGTTTGTGCTGGTAAGTCAGAATCACTACACGCAAGAGTGGTAACAATTGTACCAGCAGGCGATCCCTCGGCAATTGTTTGTATTTTTGTTGCCGGTGAACACACAGGGTCGTTATCATTTACGCCAGCCACGTTAATTGTTAGAGCTGATGTGGAAGTGCGAGCACTTCCTCCTGTTCCATCAGCGACTTCTAAATCAAGTGAATATGAGGAAGTTGTGTCGGCATCTAATGACTGTTGTATTATGATTACCCCAGTTGCTGCATCTATTTTAAATTTATTGTTATTGTTCCCACCAGTTATGGTAAATATGTATGGACCTGCGGTTGGATCAACGTCTGTGGCGTCTAAATCAATGACAGTTTTTCCTAAAGGATCATCCTCTTGTAAATAGATTGTGTAAGGCCCAGCAGGTAAAAATGTAGGAGCTTGTTGATTGATATCACCAACTGATACCTGAACAAATGCTGTTACTGTATTGACCGAGTCTGTAGCGGTTATTGTTAATGAGTAAATTGGGATAGTCTGGGCGTTTAATATAGCATTAATTTGGATTACGCCCGTGTTACTATCTATTGTAAAATGATTGCTTGCATCACCAGCGGTAATGGAATATACAACCACATTGTTTGGAGATAGGTCGTTGGCATCTGGACAGTTGACAGTGGTTACTGTCGTTCCCACAGGATCTGTTTCTTGAACTGATGTAATATAGGTTATTGGGCTGCAGACTGGTGGAATATCATTTATGTCCGTTATTGTTATAGGGATTGAAGCTGTCTCTACTAATGGCGGAGTACCTTTGTCTGCAGCCTGGACAGTGAGAATGTAATTATCTACATCTTCTCTATTTAAAGGACCTTTAAGTATCAATGCTCCTGTTGTGGCATCAATAAGAAATTTCCCATCTCCATTACCCGTTGTAATACTATATTCGACTTCACCTGAAACAATAAAGTGAAAGTTAACAAGAAAAGCCACCACACGTTGGAAACAGCCTATGTAATACTAAAATGTAAGAGACTGGCAATTTTCTATAATAGTATAATACAGCTTACCAAATATTGCCGAATCAGCGTCGTTTGCTATCACGGTTGTTAAGACAGATCCAATAGCTTTGTTTTCCGCAACATTTATTGGGTATGACGACATGGTGAAACTGGGTGAGTTATCATTTACATCTATGTAAAAAACAGAACAGATTTATTATGAATAAATTTGTTATATATTTTGCTGAGCATAGATTATTATTTAAAGAACTAGATTTTACAAAGTTTATTCAAGAAAACCTTTAAAAGCTTTGTTTTTAGAAGTCACAAACTGGGTATCTCAAAATAAGGTTCCATAATTCAAAATGCTTGTTTACATCTACTCACCAGTTACTTCAACATAAACGCCAATTGTTATTTGTCTTGATGAGGTTCCTTGATCTGAAACTATCACGTTGTATTGATAATTATCTAATGTTTCTTTATCAAATGATGCTCCCGTAGAAACAGTTACCAACCCATTTGCGTCCACCTGAAATAGGTTTCCAGGGTCACTTGCTGCCACTTCTGAAAATACGATAGCATTGTTTAAAGATGCTGGATCCAAGTCTACATCAGAACACACTAATTGCTTCACAGTAGTACCAGCAGTTGTATCCTCTGTTAAAGATGCCGTATACAGTGTACTCGTACAACTTGGAGTGTTATCATTTAAGTCATCGATATTAATGGTAATCGTGTAAACTCCAGTTAAAGCCCCAGGAATTGTTCCACCATCAACAGCATGAACAATTACCGAGAATGTTTGGATGGTTTCTCTGTCTATTGTTTCAGTAATCGTAACAGCACCACTCGAGGAATCGATTCCAAACTTTCCATTGGCACCGGAAATTATAGAATATGTTATATCACCATCATCTCCGTCATCAGAATCAATAGCATTCAAGGTTAAAATAACATCTCCTACTGACGAGTTTTCTGCAATACTTTCTGTTGATGCTGCAGGTGTAAATATAGGGGGTCCCTCGTTTATTGGACCGACTGATATTGTCACAGGAGCTGCAGTAGCCTTTCCACCTCCATCAGTGGCTGTTATGGTAAGAGCATACGTTTTCGTAGTTTCATAATTTAAAAATGTATTATCATTTATTGAAATTTCGCCTGTGCTGGATCCAATTGCAAAAACATTATTTAAATCACCACCAGTTATTGTAAAAGTTATGGTTCCAAAGGCCCCGCTGTCTCCGTCTGTAGCAGCCACAGATAGAATAGAAACGGCGTTATTTGCGTTTTCATTTACAGTGGTAGCATATGAAGAGGGGTTAAATACTGGCGAGTTGTTATTTGTATCTGTAATTGTAATAGTGATAGTTTCACAACCAGTTCTCAACGCATCAACATTATTTGAATCGGTGGCACAAACGTTGACAGTGTATGGACTTAAGGTTGGAGATATGGACGCCTTCAAAGAAATCAAACCAGTCTGAGCATCGATGATAAAATATGTTGTTGAGGACAAAGAATATGTTCTTGTCTCTGAAGTATCGGCGTCAGATGCTGAAACAGCAAGGATTGACTCTCCTGGAGCATCAGTTTCTGCGATAGTTGCAGCATATGGTGTGGAGGCAAAAACAGGAGGACTTTCATTTACATCCGTAACCACTATATTGACAGTGGCGGTTGTTGTTAAATCAGGCGTGCCATTATCGGACACAAGTACAATGATGTTGTGTATTTTGTCCGTCTCGTAATTCAAAGAACCAGTAAGACTTACAGTACCCGTTCCACCAATAGAGAAAATCCCAGCACCCAGCACCGCATTTACGCTATTTATAATATATGTTAAAGTGCCACTATCTGTATCTATACAAGACAGTTTTGCCATCACCCCCGAACCATCTTCTCTGTGTGTAGCAGTTACAAGATTTGGAGAACATATCGGAGTAACATCATTTATATTTGTTAGTAAAATACTGACCGTGGCAGTAGCACTTCGCTGAGGAACACCATTATCGAATGCTACAACTTCAAAATTGTAGTTTGGTGTCGTTTCCAAATCCACAGATGTCTTCAAAAATATTTCTCCAGTGGCAGAGCTCAAGCCAAATTCAGCATTCGCGACTGTTTGAAAGTAAACAAATCCATCATTCCCATTATCTGCATCCGATGCTGTTACCTGGCCAATCGATGTACCAACAGCTGAATTCTCCGCAAGGTTGAATGTGTACGTTGGTAATGTATATAAAGGATCAAATTCGTTTACGTTTGATACAGTTATTGCAACAGCAGCTGTTGCGGATTTAGAGGTAGCGTCTCCATTTCTATCAACTGCTAAAATATATAGAGTGTAGAGTGTTGCTGTTTCATAGTTTATATTTACAGAATTTGTAATAATACCAGATGTTGCACCAACTGAAAAATCCCCAGAACCACCTGAAAAAATTAAACGTAAATAGTATTACTCCATGTGTTTGCATATATTCAGTTGATACTTATTGAACTTATTGAAATAATACAGCCACGGTCTTCTACTTTTAACTTATGAGCATAGGAGATCAACGTATTCATGACTAGAGCTTATTCATACCTATGATTGAAAATGTGACTTGTCCATTAACTGTAGCCCCATCATCATTATCAGTTGCTCCAACAGTTTTAATAACAGTACCTATTGGATCATTTTCCGTTATACTTCCACTGAAATATAGAATCGCATCGTAAGGATCGATTTAAACACAGAAATTAAGGTTTCTACATAACTATACCAAGTTGAACAGTTTCTACCATTCTTATTTAGATATTTCAAATTTGAGCGCAGTAATAATATACACACTAAACCAAATAATTATTATAGTCCATAAAATTAAGCATTTTTCAATGATTACTAGTAGTTTATTGATTGATCAGGCCTAATTTCAGAAATAAAATCCAATGTCCATTCTGCGAAGTAGTATTCCTTTAATATCAGTACCTGTACGAAGATGAAGAAAATACTGGCGAGTTGTCGTTTTCATCACTAACTGTTACCGTCAGAGTTGTGGTTATAGTGTTGGTACCATCAGTAGCCTGGATATTGAGTAGATGTGATGAAGCAGTTTCACGATCTAGACTTCCTAGAAGAACTATCTTACCATCTGTAGCACCGATAGAAACCAATGGATAGGTTGTCGTGAATGAATAGATAATTTGACCATCTGCAGTGTCATCAGAGTCCACATCAGTAGCTACTACAGTCTGTATTACGGTAGAAACCGGTGTGCTTTCGGATAGAGTTACTGTATATGGAGCTGAAAAAGTGAATAAAAAATCAATTTATTTCAATAGATCATCAGTAGAAGAATACAATTTATATGGCCGAGAAAGGATTTATAGTTATAACGTAAAAAATGTATATCAATTACCTCCAGTGAAAACAGGAGGTGCTTCGTTGATCGGACCAACATTAACCGATCCGAAAACGTCGATTGGATTTGTACCATCGGATACTGTTAAAACCAAGTCATATTTTCTAGTTGCACCTTCAAAGTTAATAGCTTGCTTCAACTGTAAATTGGCACCAGACATCTCAAATGTAGCAGTATCTCCCGAAGATATAGCATAGGTCACTGTTCCTGTTGTGTCGGAGTCGGAACATACCAAGCTCAATATTACATAACCTACAACTTCATTTTCATTTACAGTTTCTGCAAAGGTCGTTTGTGTGCACGTTGGGGCATTGTCGTCAACATCTGTTACAGTTACAGTCAAGGTTACAGTGGCTGTGTTTGGACCACCTTGTTCTTTAGCATGGACAACTATAGCATAGGAAGTGGTGGTCTCTCGGTCCAAATTTGATCTGGTGGTCACGCGGCCAGTGACACTATCAATCAGGAACTGATTAGATGGATCGCCATTAATGATAGAATACTCCAATACTCCAAAAGAGGAGCTGGTATCTGGGTCGTTAGCAACAACATTAGACACTGAGGTACCAATAGATACACTTTCAGATATTGAGACAGCATAGGTTCCAGTGAATGTTGGTCCACCATCATTTATGTCAATAACATTAACATGTACTGTAACGGTAGAAGATCCACTTGATAAATCAGTCACTGTAATTGCCAAGGAATGGGATGCTGAGGTTTCATAATCCAGATTACCTGCAAAATACACATATTATTGATTCCAATGTTTATTATGACTTTACCAACTTTGATAGCAACAATGAATAAATTCTCAAAATATATACTGATGTAGGATGATACGATGGTAAATAATAAAAATAATTACTAGTCAATGATAAAACTCCTACTGGTGACACTGCAAACAGACTTCCTGGTGTTTGAATCAATGAATATGTTAATGCGGTACCGTCTTCCGCATCTGTACATCCAAGGTTTGGCGTGATAACTGTATATGGTGTTCCTGAAAACATAATAAGAGAAACATGGTTTATTTACCATCTGAAAAAACAAACTTGCATACAAACTTTTGATGCCCTTATTTTCTTTCAAGAGTCACCGAGAGGACTCAACTGAAATTGAATGGAAAATATCTTAACCAGTCAGATTTGTTGTCGGCTGTCATCTTGCCCTGTATGCACCAGAATCATTCAATTTATCTGTGTATGGACTAAACTTTAATAACGCATACCTTCATTCTCATTTACAGAGATAGTCCATGTAGACTGTGTACACGATGGTGAATTATCATTGACATTAGTTACTGTAATTGTTAAAGTACCAGTTCCCTTAAATATAAAGATACAGTCTTCCAAGTTTTGACCGAATATATATTTTCAAAAATAAATACAATTAGCATACTTCTGTAACCTATGAGAAATTTTATTCAACTAAATTTATGATAAATTAAATCTGAAATATCTTAGTCACTAGTTTCAAGAAAATCATAGATTATTTTGTGAGGAACATCTAATTCACCTTTAATTAAGACATTTTGTTGAAACGAGCTCTTCTGATAAAATGCAAATTTCATAAAAAAAAAAAAAATCATTAAAAAAATAGTACAATATCAAAATCCACTTATCCAAAATGTTAAAAGATGAATCGTTAAATTATATAACACTTACAGTTTGACTTCCCCCGTCAACAGCTTCAACTGTAAGCTCATAATTTTTATTACCAGCTGGTAAACTTTCATAGTCTATATTACCAATTAACTGTATTTTACCATCTGATGAATCAATGGTAAATAAAGATGCTCCGGACTGTGTTACTGTAATGGGAGAAGACATGTATGTAAGCGCCCCAAAACGTATTTTAGAGAATGGCTTGAATAAATAAACCAAAAACAATATATAAAATCATGTCACAAATGAAATGTTTAGAGTTTTTCGTTTTTTTTTACCATTCTTCACTTAGTGGACCAATGGAGATGGACAATGGTATGCAGCTAGGGAAATTTAGCCAGAATAGCGGCTTTAACCTATACCTTTTTTTCCATTGCCAACTGTCTATGAATCTCGTCTTATGTCGGGATTGAACCTTGGACCATCAGTTCAGCACGCAAGCGTCTAACTCACTGAGCCATACATGTCAAGAACTGATCCAAATTTCAGTGTCAAGGTTCTAACGATCTACTTGACTAGTACCTAACGGTATCTACAGATATTTTCAATAATGTAGATTAGACCAAGAAATTTGTAAAGCAAACTTTTTCACAGAACTTGGCGAATTATTGTTATAGATTTTTTTAATCCCTGGGATTGACCAACCTGTCGTTATACTATACTGTACTATATTATGTGGACTATAATCTGAATCTGTAGCACCAAAAGTTGTTATTACACCTGGACTGGTATTTTCAGCTATAGATATAGTATCATCAGTAAATCCTGGTACATCATCATTAATAGGGGTTAAATTAACTACAACACTAACTTTTATAGCATTTGTACCATCAGTTATTGTAACTTCTAAAGAATAGGATTGGGTAGCTGAATCATAATTCACCACTGAAAAGGAAAGTATCACTTCAAGGTATATACCGGTCTAAATATTGCTTTCATTACATTAATCCGACAACTTGTTCCTCCTTTCCAACATATACAACTGTGAACATTTATATTGTTACAACTAATGGTGTCATGATATCGACAATAACTGCACTAGATAACAGCATGCTAGTGACCAGTCTAAAATTGGCGCAATGTAGTTACTTGCTATATCCCTCTATAACGTACATCCTGTAATCAATTTATATTAAAAGAAAAAACAAATTTTCATATTGTGTTCCAGCATACAAGTATGATGTACTTTTTCCCTTAAACAATCAAGCGAGATTCATCATATTCCTTTATAGCTATAGTAGTTATATCGTCATTGAACATTACATTTCAGTCTGTTTCAAACATAGAATGAACAATCCTATTATTGCGATCAAGCTTTATATTTATATGGGTATGCCTATATATTGGACATATATAAATATGTGGAACTCACATGCAGCAAGAGTTATGGTCCCTGCTGTATCAATATTGAAATTTGAAGAAGGATCACCATTTGTTATTGTATAAGATAAAGTATCACTTGTATCACTGTCACTACATGATAATGTTGTTACCTGGTAAAAGAATAATCAGTAACATTAGCAACCTATTTCCTGTTATTGAGGAAACACGATTGGCTTGTGATATTTGAACTAAGGTTTATACTGGGTACTTGTGATGATACCAAAAGGTAATAAATGTTTCCAAATGGTAGTAGTAAATGCATCACAAACACTGGCTGGTGATATTATAAAAATAGAATACAATCTTCTTGTGATAATCGTCTACGTTTCATATTAGACAACGTATAATAAACTTTTATTGGTGATATTACAAAGTCGGAAACAAAACACATAACATAGACTTTACAATTGAAAAATCTTGTATGAAGCCAACAGGTCTGAAGATGTTCACTGGCATGAGATACTTACTACGTCATTAACAGCAGCATTCTCAGCTAAATTAACAAATATTGAATAAGATGTACACGCTGGTTTATTAGAATTGACATAAGTTACAGTTATAGTAACTGTTGACGTCATAGATCTTGGCGTACCACCTCCATCTGTAGCTGTTATTTCCAGATTAGTTACAGGCTGTGAATCAAAACTCAGTTTTTTTATTGTAGATATTTTACCCAGTATGGAATCAAT